CGGTTCTGATCCTGGCAGCTCCGCTTCCCATCCAGCTCCCTGCTTGTGGCCCGGGAGGTTGGTTGAGGATGACCCAAGGCCTTGGGACCCTGCACTCGCATCAGAGACCCGGAGGAGAATTCTGGCTTCTGACTTTGGATCGGATTGGCTCCAGCCAATGCAGCCACTTGGGGAGTGAACCAGCAGATGGAAGATCTGTCTGTTTGTCCTTTTCTCTATATCTTTCCAATGAAAATAAAATAAATATATTAAAAAATGAATGAACTTCAATTGTTCATCATCAAGTTGCGTAAATGCTTTGATTTTCTGTATCTGTAACCAAGACTGTCAGCCCCGATGTGCAAGGGATGGAGCGTTTTTTCTGGTGTCTCCCGTGGGCTCAACGTTTGGCCTGGAGAACTGGGTCAATTAATCCATGCTGTGTCGTACCCTTGGATGAAGAGGTCAGTGCCAGTCCAGAGGTGCGCTGTACCCCTCTGCTGGCCACAAGTGCAGTGAGAGCTGAGAACGAAACGCATGGGCTCCTGCGTGTCCCCTGCCCCCTGCTTGCCTTACTTGTTCTAGTATTTCAGCCCAAAAGGCCCCACAAGGAACATTTTTTAAGCCATTGTGTCCCAGGTCACTGCGCTGTCAGTACTTGGGGTGGCTCACTTGCAGCATGTCTGTCTGTCTGTAGGTGAGAAGTGTAAAAATAGCAAGTACACTAGCTGCTGTCCATGTGGCAGGGGAGGTACCTTGCAGACTGCCCCAAAAAGACCTCGAGAGTTCTGCGAGCAAAGGTGTCATCCCTCAGGGTCGTGGCAGGTGCGGGGATGGTTCTGAGAGGCCCCCCGTGGGGCTGCATGTGTGTTGAGGATCAGTTCACTGGCTTTCTGGAGAGCATGAGACATGAATCCACATGGTCTCAGCTCAGGTGTCCCTGGGGTCACAGGCTAGCAACCCTGTTGTTAGCTGCAAAACCCAAAAGTGAACATTTGGAAGTTTGTCCAAAGGCCTCATCTCTGTTCTATGGAAAGCCTCTTTCTCAGTGCCAGCACCTTGTGCCCCAGCTCAGCCCTCAGGGCAGGAGTGATCCAGCTGCTGGACTCAACCTCTTCCTGTGTTAAGCAGCAACAGGCAAGAGACCAGCCTTCAGGCTTGGTTAGTAGCCTAGTGGCTAAAGTCCCTGCCTTGCATGCGCTGGGATCCCACATGGGTGCTGGTTCTAATCCTGGCGGCCCTGCTAACCATCCAGCTCCCTGATATGACCTGGGAATGCATCCATGTGGGAGACCCAGAAGAGGCTCCAGTTTCTTGGCTTCGGATTGGCTCAGCACTGGCCATTGCAGCCACATGGGGAGTGAATCAACAGATGGAAGATCTTCCTCTCTGTTTCTCCTTCTCTCTGTATATTTGCCTATTTTAAAAAAAAAAAAAAATCTTAAAAGAAAGACCAGCCTTCGAAAAAGGTCACAAAAGGGACAAGAGGAAGGAGGCAGGGAAACAATGCAGTCAGCTTCCTGTTAAACAGCCAATAGGTAGAAGGGCCGAAGTCCTGTCACCAGGGGCCCCAAGGGTGTTTACGTGGTGACAGGGATCCTCATGTTTCAGAGCTCTTGCCTGGACATCAACCAGACTGCAAGAGTTGGTGCAGACCTGTGTCCCCCTGGGCTACGTGGAACCATCCCGCTTAGGAAACCCATTGTCTCCTGAGTGTGTCCTTTCTGTCCTCCACACTGCAGCCTTTGGTCCAGCTGCTGGACTGAGCAAGGCGGCTGGGATGCATGAGATCCAGTTCGTGTTTTCTGGTATCAGAACCCGTATCTCACTTTGCACTTGAGCACATTCCTGTAGATGCTGTGGTGTGTCCCTGGGCCCTGTCTGTTCCCTTGACCCATTTGCCTGTGTCAGCTGCATAGCCTTCTAAGTAGAGTTGATAATAGTAGTGCAAGCCTTCCACTTGATTCTTCTCTAGGAGTTCCATATACATTTTCAAATCCTCTTGCCAGTTTCCTTGGGATAAAAACTTCCCAGCTAGAAATTCTGTTGGCTATACATTAAATGAGTCCATGTAGGGAAGAGTGGACATCTGTATGATTAGTTTGAATGTTGCCTCCTTCCCATTCTCACTGTGTCCTTCTGGGAACTGAGTTCAACTCTTAGACTGCCTGAATTTCAGTTATTTGCCATTTCTGTAAGTTTTATGTGGTACTTCTCAAATCTGCTTGGTCATTCTTTATAATCTTTTCCTTATGGTTTTAAGGCTCTCTCTCATTTCTCAGGCATGGTATTTCATAATCTGTCTCCAGTAAATCCCGTATCTGAAGTCTTGTTAAGTCTGATTCTTCCAAAAGTTCTGCTGTTTTTGCTGGCTCTGTCTCATATTGACTTGTTTCCTTGCATGTAGTGATTTAAAAAAAAAAAAAAAGCAACAGCAACAATAAAACTATGACCTTTTTTATTTTCCTTGAAACTGTATTTTGGGAGTTTTTAAAGGCCTGGTTTGAAACTGTTTTCCTCCAAAGAGAATTTGCATTTCTTGCTGCCAGCCCCGGAACACTTTAAATTACATGTTTGGCTGCAGAATACTGTGCCCATATAGGTAGGGTAGCTAAGAATTCACAGGGCAAGGCAAGGTCTACCCTGAGGGGACCCCCTCCCTGTCCTTCCTCATTTTGTGTGACCCTGGGCAAGTGTTGTGGCCTCTCTGTGTCTGTCCTGTCATCTGATGAAATGGGATGACTCGACAGCAAAGGGCTTGCGTGGGCTTGCAGTTGCACACTGTAGGCGGTGGGGAATGCCATTCTGTTCTCCTGCTGCCTGGTGGCAGCCCCCGCTGTGGTGACTCCTCCCTCTCAGAGGGGGTGGACGCCTGAGTCACCCTCTTCTCCACACTGAACCCAGCTTTGACATGTTGTTCCTGGCCTCTATCTTGCCCATGGCCAGAGCTGTCCTGCAGGTCACTTGGAGCTGGGGGATGAGAAAAATGTCAATGAACACAAATCTGCTTCTTCTCCAAGTGCTACAGAATTGTTTGGTTGGTGATGATACTTGAAAACACATGTATGATATGATGTTAGTAACAAGATGTTGCAGTTGCTTGTCATTTTGAATCACGTAGAAGGTTGGCAGTAATAGGATGGTACTGTTAAAAAGTTCATGGAAAATGGAATTGAAAGACAAGTAGTTTGGTGCAAAAAGTTTTGAACTCTGCAATGTTTCTGCAGCAGACACGTTTTAAATTAACTTTTGTATGAGTGGATTTCAAAATTGTTAACAACCAAATAAACATATTTTAATTCCATTTCCCATGAATTTTAGGAATATCCTTGAGTAAGTATAACTTAAACAAAAAGTTGCATATCAGCATAAACATATCTTCTGTCCTTTCTGGAACCAGAAATAAAAAGAAAGAAGTTGAATTATGTGAACTCAACCCTTCTGAGAAAAATGGGAACATGGAGGCTTGCAGGAAATTGTTCAGGTGGTTAAGAGGGATTTTTGCCAAGGGGAGGGTTCCAAGTCGCTCCTTTTCCACCAGTCCTAAAGGTGAGGCTTGGGGCAGAACGCCTGAGTCTTGCACTAAGTCGGTGCCCATGTGACCTTAGATGAAAAACTGACTCTGGCTCTCAGTTCCTGGCCGTTGTGTTGTTTGGAGCAGGTAAATAGTGAGTTCCAGGTGCCTTCCTTGTGATCTGGCACAGCTCAACTCCTTAAACAGGAATGGTGGATAACTTTTACACATCCACCTTCTTAGCATCTCTATGTTCTACCTGAGTTCCTTTTCAATCAAAGTAAAACTCAAATTTCAGCAGCTAAGGCAGTCTAGATAGTGCTCAACTTTTTTCTTTTTAAGATTTATTTTATTTTTATTGGAAAGGCAGATATACAGAGGGAAAGATCTTCCATCTGCTGGTTCACTTCCATCTGCTGGTTCAGTCCCAGTGGCCAGAGCTGAGCTGATCCAAAGCCAGAAGCCAGGAGCTTCTTCCAGATCTCCCATGCAGGGGCAGAGTTCCGAGGATTTGGGCCATCCTCTACTGCTTTCCCAGGCCATGGCAGGGAGCTGGACGGGAAATGGAGCAGCTGGGATTACAACCAGTGCCCATATGGGATCCCAGTGCATCCAAGGTGAAGACTTTTAGCAACTAGACTATTGTGCCAGGCCCTGACTTTTTTTTTTTTTTAAGATTTATTTTTTTTATTGGAAAGGTAAATATACAGAGAGAAGTAGCAATAGAAAGATCTTCCATCTACTGGTTTACCCCTTAAATGACCTTAATAGCTACAGCTGTGCCAATCCAAAGCCAGGAGCATCTTCCTCATTTCCCATGCAGATGCAGAGTCCCAAGGCTTTGGGCCATCCCCTGCTGCTTTTTTTCAGTCCATAAACAGCTGGTTAGGAAGTGGAGCAGCTGAGACTCAAACCAGTGCTCATATGTGTGCAAACACTTGCAGTGTGAGGATTAGTCAGTTGAGCTATTATACTGGTCCCATTCCCTGACTTCTGATTATTTGGCTTAGCCATATTTCAACTTTTCTGGAGGGTACTTATTCAGAGGACAGTGACCTGTGCCCTGGGATTTTGTCATCTTCCAGGGCCAGCTGTGTGTGCTGCTGTCCTTTCACCACATCAGGCAGCGTCAGCCACAGCTCCATGTCAGCCAAGCAGGGTGAACAACAAATGGACACTCTGCCACCCTGTGCTGTGTCACTAGGCTAGAATGTTCTTTAGGTGTGTAAATGTGATTCCAGATTCTAATTTATAGTATGTCCTCAGGACACAGCTTCATTGTTAATCAAGAATTTTTTAGCTATGCATTACTAGCAATGTTATTTTAAATAATATTAAGATGAGGTTTTTAGATACTTTCCTGTTACTAAGCAAGAACCCCCTGGGACTTAATTCCTTAGGAACCAGAGAAGCAGAATGCCCAAGAGGTCAGGGAAGGGAGAGGGAGGGGGGGAGAGGCAGTCCCAGTGGCCATGGAGGTGCTCAACAGCTCCCTCTATCCCCACAGGACGCAATGAGCCCCTGAAGAAGGAGCGACTCAAGTGGAAGAGCGACTACCCCATGACTGACGGGCAGCTGCGGAGCAAGCGAGATGAGTTCTGGGACACAGCCCCTGCCTTCGAGGGCCGCAAGGAGATCTGGGATGCCCTCAAAGCTGCCGCCTATGCTGCTGAAGCCAATGACCATGAGCTGGCACAAGCTATCCTGGATGGAGCCAGCATCACCCTGCCTCATGGTGCGTGGGCAGGGCCAGGGAGGCGGGGTGCATGCCCCTGGAGCTGGGGTCATCAACATGGCTTAGGAGCACAGAAAGTCAGGAGTTTCTATCCGAGCTGGAGTTAGGGGTAGGTGATGACTATTCACTGTTCATTCCAACCCTCTCTGAGCATAGTCCAGGAGTGGAGACAGAGGAGAAGTAGGCTTGGGTGCTGCCTGCCTCAAGGGGGATGCATGGGCACAGCAGGGCTGCAAAGCAGTGTGAGGCCTGCAAACTAAATACCTGCTCCAGGGCCTTTCTGTAATCCAGAACATCCCAGACACAGACTTCCCCTCGAGTTAGCATGCGCTGGGCACCAAACTAGAATCTCCCAGTGCCTTGACTCATTGAAACTCGTGGCAGCCTCCTGCGGCCATGTAAATCAGTTCTAACTGTAGAGTTCTAGAGTCACACCTGTGGGTCTTCTTAAGATTTATGTATTTGAAAGACAGAAGGCAGAGAGAATCTTCACCTTTCTTTCTGCTGGTTCACTCCCTAAATGTACTAGAACTAGGATGCCAGCCCAGGCCAGGTCTTCCTGATGACAGCTCTGTGTTCCTCTGATCATACCACCACCCAGGGAGAACTGACTGCAGATGATTTTGAGGGCTGGGGACAGCCATGGTAGGTGTCCTAGTCTGCTCAGGCTGCTGTAGCAAAAACCAGACCAGGTGAGAGAACAGGAAGTCCACCATCTAGGCACTCAGGTTTGCAGGTGGCAGCCTTCTCACTGTGTCTTCATATAATGGGGACAGAGCTCCCTGGCAACTCTTGCAAAGTCACCATCCTGTCCAAACAAACACAGTTCTGCCTCGTGGGCTGGACCTAGTAGCTCCGCCCAGGTCCCATCTCCTAGCTGGGAGCCCGGTTTGCAGCTGGTGAGACAGGAGATACAAGTGCTTGGTGTCCATGCCCCCTCTGACTGCCCTGGCTTTTCCTCAGGCACCCTCTGTGAATGCTATGACGAGCTGGGCAACCGCTACCAGCTGCCCATCTACTGCCTGTCGCCACCTGTGAACCTGCTGCTGGAGCGCACTGAGGAGGAGGAGAGCCCCGAGCCCCCGGAGCCCACGCCCAGCGTACGCCGTGAGTTCCCGCTCAAAGTGCGCCTCTCCACAGGCAAGGACGTGAGGCTCAGCGCCAGCCTGCCTGACACAGTGGGGCAGCTCAAGAGGCAGCTGCACAGCCAGGAGGGCATCGAGCCGTCCTGGCAGCGATGGTTCTTCTCTGGGAAGCTGCTCACAGACCGCACACGACTCCAGGAAACCAAGATCCAGAAAGATTTTGTCATCCAGGTCATCATCAACCAGCCCCCGCCACCCCAGGATTGAGGGGTGCACAGACTCCTGGGAGGAAAGGCCCCAGCCTGGAGCACTAGGCCCCCACCCTGCTGCTGCCATCGAGTGTTGTGATGTTTCCTGAGGGTGCCTCCCCACCATAGGGCTGCTGGCTGAGCAAGAGGGGACCTGGCTTCCCAGGGGCACTGTGGGCCATCAGTACCCAGTGCCTGGAGAGCAGGACTGCCATACCCTGGCCTTGCCAACCTTTTGAGGGAGAAGGCCATGTGGGGCCTTCCCCCTTCCTGCCTCCCACAGCAGGTTTGAGCCTAGGAAGCCAGCCCAGAGACCTACGAGCCCAGATCCGTCACTTGCCACCGCCAGCCGTACTCACTCCGGTTTTCTGCTCAGGGTCTGATGCAGCTGCTGTGTCCCTCCTCTGCCCTGGCTCCAGTGCCAGTCCCCTAGGGAGCGGAGAGAGCCACCAGCGAGCCCCAGGGCTCAGGGAGCCCGAGGCAGGCCTCTGCTTCTCTCTGCCCCAGCACAATCGGCAGAGATGAGACAGGTGACTGGACAGCCGGGCTTCATGGCAGGGTCTGTGCAGGGCTGTCTCCTGGCTGTAACCCAAGTGGTGGTGAGGGGGAAATCTACAGCCTGGTCATGGCCCTCAGAGCAGGTCCTGGCCACAGACATATCTGCATATTTATCAATAAAGCCTTTTGCTCCTTCCCTCTTGCCTGCAGTTTGTTTTGGGGGTTGGAATGGATGGGCACGGCCTACTGCTCTGGCCACAGCACAGAGAATACCATTGAGCAAACCTTGGATGGCTAGCCTCCTGGACCCTGAGGCCAGCTCCTCTCATGTTCTCGGAGACCTTCAGGAAAAGCCCTCTAATCTCAGTCCCTGGGACTGCTCTTGAAAGCAGAGGTGATGCCACCCTCCCTGCCACCTCTTTCAGTTACCAGGAGACTTAGATGGAAGGGTCGACGGGCAAGTGCTTTGCAAGCAAAGGTGGCCATCTCGGGCGGCGACATTGGGTGCTGCTGCAGCACGACTGCCCTGGCTTGAGCCCTCCAAGCCCGGCCATCCTGACTTTGACCTGTGGAAACAGTAGGACACTACACTCCTGTGATGACGGTAAAGCCAAAGCTCCAGCAAACTGGAACTTTAACCCTGTGGCCGGGGGAAGTGGATGTGTTCTCCCGGGGCAGGGTGTATGCTTGGGCAGGGAGGGGTCTCAGCTCAGGACAGCCAGATGAGCATTGCAGGTTGTGGCTAGGGTGGCTGCCGTTCACAGGCCAGTTCAGCCTGACTGGAACCTGCAAGTTCCGGGTGTGGTGCTGAGCAAGCCCAGGTTTGTTTTGCCTCCAGTAGGGAGGCATGCCAGCCTGTGCTCGCTAACCTGGCACTGTCTGGGTCTGACCGGGAAACCCTGGGGGAAGGATGAGGAGGAAGAGCTGGAGTTCCTCTTTAGCTGGGCTCGACACTGCCTTTGGCTTTTCTTAGAAGGCCTATGAGTCCTGCTGGAACACTTGAGGGAGTCTGTCCTGTATTGATGGATACCTGGCCAAATGCCCTGTTACTGCACTAGAGGGTGCTGTGGGACACAGGGTGGCTGGCAAAGAGTTAATGGGAGTTAATGGGAGGAAGGCAGCTGCACGCAACCCACTGGTGCCTTGGTCCTCTATTCCAGATGAAGCCAAATCTGCATATCCTCACACCCAGCAGGGCCAGTTCACCGGCAGCCTGGGGGTGTGGACCTGTTCAGGGTCCTGGTATTTGGTTGTCAGGTCCCCTTTCTTGCACTGGCTAGACAAGATTTTCAGGCATCCAGCAGGTGGCAGTGCCATCCAGGTCAGGAGCTGCAATTGGTGGATCTCTGCACTGCCCAGCTGCTGTGGGGCGGAGGATGTCCAGCCAGGCCCAAGCACTTGGGGACAGAAGCTTCTTCCTGCAGTCCTGCTCTGTGGGCACTGTGCCCTCCAGCTCCAATAGGCTAGAGGTTGGGGAGGGGCCACTGTCCCCATTCCCAGGCTCTGGCTCCCCTCCCTGCTCCATGAGGCTGCCAGAGGTGAAGGTGACAGGTGGGGGAGGGCCGGTGAGCTCATGGCAAAGGCTCCCAGCTGGGCGGGGAATGGGGGGCTCGGGCCTATAAAGCCCCCAGAGCCATGTAGCGGTCAGCAACAGTCATGGACGGCACCACGGAGGGCCCCATGGAGGACTCCGAGGCTGTGCAGAGGGCCACGGCGCTCATCGAGCAGCGGCTGGCGGAGGAGGAGAAGAGTGAGGTGCGGCCAAGGGGATGGGAGTCTTACGGGAAGGGAGAGCCCCCAGCTGCCATGCCTCCGTGGGAAGGCAGGTGTTCTTGCAGGTCTCAGGTCCCAGTGGGCCTGGCAGATGATGGATTTGGGTCTGAGGCTTGAACCTCTAAAACTGAGAGTTGGTGGGGAAAAGGGAAGTGGCTTGGGCTCCCCAGATCCTGCCTGCCCCCTGGGCTCTGGGCAGACAGCTGGGCACCGCCTGGGAATGTCAGGAATGTACAGTCCTGAGACACCCCCAAGCTGCTGGCTACCAGCTGGGAGGCTGGGGCTGGAGCACCTCCCAAGATGAATGCAAGCATGGATGATTTCCCCACAACTGGCAGCCACATTTTGGGAGGCCTTTGGGATTGTGTTTTCTGGGGATTTTGCCTTCTCTTACTCTTACACCAGCACTGATCAAGTGCCTGTCACACCGAGAGTCCGGTGCTGTGATGTGCAAGGAGACTAGGATGGCCCGGAGCATGCCTTTCTTTCACCCACCCAGCATTGCTTTCAGCTAACCTTTGTCAGTTGCACAGCCAACTAAATCAAATCAGAGGGAAGACACAGGCAGGTGGGGAGACATGCATGGTCTGACAGGATGATTTTGGGTGGAGATGGGTGTGGGAGAAAGGGCAGAGTGAAAGGTAGAAGATATGAGCAGAACTGGTACCAGAAGCTGAGGTTGGAGAACGGTGGCAGAGGACAGATCACAGACTGATCAGGTAAAAGTTATTGATTCTGTGGGCAGCCAGGGCACTCGATGTTGTGGAGGGAGGGAAAGCCGTGCCAGCTGGCCTGTTACAAGAAGGCAGCTCCAGGGGCTCTGGGAAGGGCTTGCTAGAAGGGAAAGGGTGTTTCCAGCAGGAATGGAAAGGGGAGATAAAGCAGTGTAGAGAGGTAGGTGCTGTGGCTGAATGAGGAGGAGGGAAAGATGGGACTGTAGAGGAAGAAGAGAGGAGAGCAGGCTTGTCAAGGGAGCACTTGGGGGCATTCCTGCATCTCCAGGAAACCCACAGCCCCCTCCGCAAGGGTGAATGTGCTCAGGGCTGACTGTGCCATGCAGGGTGCTCATGGTGGATTTCCAGAGTGTTGCCACTAGACACAGAAACCTTCAAACCTTCAGCCCTAGGGCACAGAGCAGTCCTCTGCTCATCTGTTCTGCAAAGGCTGTTAGGACACAGGTGCTCGCAGAGCCGACCTTCCACCGTGTGCCTATACCACACCAGGCATCCGATGGGTATTCTCGTGGTTAATCTACAAAGTAAGGTGCAAGTTGTGGTTTGTGAGCTTAACATTCATTGAGCTCCTACTGTGTGCCAGCCCACACATCTAAAGTGAGGGGCTATAGATAGAGTCTGGGTGAGATGTGAGTGGGCATTCCAGCCCCCAGCAGTTTTCACTGGGTCCCAGCAGAGTAGGGTTCTTGCAGGAGGGCACCTGTCTTTATTTTTTGTTTTTAATTTTTTTTTTTGAAATAGAGGGCACCTGTCTTTCTGCACCTCTGCCCTATATGGGAGAGTCGGGAGGGTCATCAGGGCCAACTGAGGGGCTGCAGCTCCGGTGGGGGGATGCTTGGTTAGAGCATGCTGAGCATGTCGAGGCAGGCAGAGATGCTGAGCCTGCCTGCCATTATGGATTCACATACTCATTAGCCAACCACTCACTGTGTGCCTGCTGCCTACCAAGATAATCAGGAAACACCTGCTTATGGGAACCCAGGCAGAGGCCCACATGCCACAGCAAGTGCAACCCGGGTTATCTCTTATCCCCAGGAAGAACAGTTTCAGGAGAGACCAGTCGACCCCCGACCCAACCATAAATGCCTGATATGATTGGAAAATCTGCCCTCAAAACCCATCCTCCAAGAGGCTAGCATTAGAGCCCAGGGAACAGTGAAAAAGCACCTGGGTGGACTGTGGGAGCCATTCCTGCTGGCCACCATCTGGACTTGGCACCCTCCAACCCGAGCAGATGTTACTGGGCTCACGTCACTCGCACAGGCTGTGCTGGGGACTCCCAGGAAAGAGGGACCAGTCCTTCATCAACCGTGAACCAGAGTGGCAGGTGGGAAAGAGTGAATCCCATATTCCTGTGGTGAGAACAAGCCAGCTGAGTCCCCCTCACCCTGAAAAGCGTATAGCTCCTGCCCACATCCTTTGCTTCCCAGAGCCACAGTTTCCATGCTCTAACTTTCACAGATCAGTAAAATTTGATGGGGGAAAAACCAGAATAGCCAAGCTTTTATATTGCTTCTCTGATCACAATTATTTCATCCAAGTGATTTGTACATTGACTGGAAAGGGAGACATACACACACACAGAGCGCTTCCAACTACTGGTTTGTTTACTATCTCAAATGACCACAATGGGCACACTGCGTCATGTCTAAGCCAGGAGCCAGGTCTCTGGGTCTCTCATATGGGTACAGAGGCCCAAGCACTTGGGTCATTCTCCACTACTTTCCCAGGAGCATTAGCAGGGAGTTGGATCAGATGTGGAACAGCTGGGTCTGGAACCAGTGACCAAAGGGAATGCAGTACTGCAGGCAGTAGCTTAAGTTACTGTACCACAACATTGGCCCCCTTCCCCCAAAGTGAATTTTTGCTGTCAAAAAAGTAAAACCAGATTATGTTGGTGTTTGCGAAAATGAATAGTGGCAAGAAGTACACAATCAATAGCTTATTGGCAGGAAGGTGTTTGAGTAGAGGCTGGGTTTGGTGGGGTGCTGTCTAAATGAGCTCTGCTGTGGCCTGGAGGTCCCCAGGACCAGCTGGAGCACCACTCAGGATGTTCTCAGGGTGGCTGGGGACAGGGCCACCTGGTTCCCCAGGTTCTGAATTCTGGTTCTCTGTTGGTCATAGAAACTCCGAGGAGCCACGCCGCAGAAGCTGCCCATGAACTTGCTGGTGCTGGAAGATGAGAAGCACCAGGGCGTGCAGAGCGGTGCCTTACAAAATGTCAAGGTGAGTGTGGGACAGCCTTACACCCAGGGCCCCCAACTCTGCAGCCCACGACCACAGCCATGCCCCAAGCCTACCCAACAGAGCACCTGATCTGGCCCCTGGAGAGCTGTGCCTTGCCTTCCTCTTTTCGCAGATCGCCCCCACCTACAGTTCAGCCAAGGGGTCTCCCTGGGCCCTGTATGTCTGAATCTCTGTGCAGGGGGCGGGGGAATAATGAGCCACCCACACACAGGGCCAAGAGCGCGTGCGCAAGACATCCCTAGACCTGCGGCGGGAGATCATCGATGTGGGCGGGATCCAGAACCTCATCGAGCTACGCAAGAAGCGCAAGCAGAAGAAGCGGGAAGCCCTGGCCGCCTCTCAGGAGCTGCCTCCGGAGCCCGAGGAGATCGTGAGTGTGTGTGCACGTGTGGACACATGTGTCAGCGTGCCCGTGTATGGCATGGCCAGAGTGTGGTCAAGAGGGCTCTGGCTAAATCCCTGCTGCCCAAGGTGATGGGATTCATACCTGCAGACGGGCCCTGTGGATGAGGAGACGTTCCTGAAAGCAGCTGTGGAGGGCAAAATGAAGGTCATTGAGAAGTTCCTGGCGGACGGGGGCTCGGCGGACACCTGCGATGAGGTGAGCTCCCAAGCTCCCACACTCCCACGCTGCCCTTGTTTCAGCCAGTGGTAGGTCTGCTTGAGTACCAGCCTGGGTGTCCTTGGATGGGGTGGGGGAGTATGCAGAGTGGGATTTACCCATTTCTTAGACCCTTTCCCAAGGCAAACCCCTTCCACAGCAGCAAATGGCCCTGGCTTATTTGGAGAAGAGGGACTGGAGGCAAGAAAGAGACAGACAGACAGACAGACAGATGGACTAGGCGCAAACCCTACCTCTCCTACCACGTACTGACTGTGCAACCCCTAGCCAGCTAGGCACCTCTCTGTACTTCTGCTTCCTTCACTGATATGGCCATCTTTCCTCACAATGCGCTAGCATCAAATGGAATAGTAGAACCTCCATTAGAATCACTGAATGAATGGAAAAACTGTAAGACATGTGCTAAGAGATAGATTGGTTTCTTATGGTATATTCATTTTTAAAATTTACTTTTACTTTATTTGAAACATAGGCAGGTAGGCAGGTAGGCAGGTAGGTAGCTAGGTAGACAGATATTCCATCCCTGTTTCACTTCTCAAATACCCAAAACAGCCACGGTTGGGCCAGACTGAAGCCAGGAGTCATCTGGGTCTCCAAGCAGGGCAGGACCCAAGCACCTGAGCCATCACCAGCCTTCTCCCAAGGTACATATTAGCAGGAATGCTGGAATCAGAAGCAGAGCTGGGATTGGCACCAGAGCACTCCAACAAGCAACTTGCCTGCTATACCAAAGCCCATCCCCATAATTCCATTTAAAAGCTATTATAGTAGCTTATTGTAAAGTGTATCTTGAAGTACACTGTTCTAACCAATTTTAGTGCCCAATTCGGTGGCATTTGCTGCATTCACTGTATTTGTACTATCTTGGTCACTGGTTTTAAACTTCTCTAAAACGCTGCCCTGGAAGCTGCCTCTCACACAGCACAGGGCGCGCATTGGCTCTCGTGTCCTGGGGTGAAGCCCATGAATGGTTCCCCACCTTGGGTGTGCATCACTGCAGGTTTGACCATACTTGTTTTCTGTTGTTTAGACTCCAGGGTCTTGGTCTTCTGGGTCTGTGCAAGCATGGCTTGCCCCCAAGTACCATGCCATGGGGCTGGGAGGACAAAAAGACAAACTCAGGTTCCTGGGGCGCTTATGCAGATGTGCTAAGCAGAGCACTGGAGTATGCAGAGACACACATCACAAGGCAGCGTGTTTCAGGAGTTCAGAGCAGGAAGCAGCTGCCCTTGGAAGAGAGGAAGTTCATTTCCTCTTTGTACTAGCCATCAGTCCTTAGAGAGCAGCAGTACCTGCTCACCTGGCTTTGTGCCGGGCACTTGGCGAGACATAGCGAGACGTGACTTACCCTCAAACAAACTCTCAGTCAAGGGTCACCTGGGGCCCTGGGCCAGCTCCAGCCTCAAGGTTTCAAGGAAATGAAGGCCCTTGAGCTGCACAATGAAGAGTGATATATTTTCCTCAAGATTTCAAAAGGAGGGAGGGCAAGGGAACAACCAGTGCCAAGGCATGGCTTGATGTGGTTAGTTGGCTATGAGAAGGGCAGAGTCCGTGGACAAGAGTTCCAGGACTAGCCTGAGTGGAACATCAAGGAGCTGACAGCTCATAACACGGGGACCAGCATAAGGATCAGGATCAGGTCATGGCAAGGTCAGAGCCTCAGCTCAGGTGGGAGATGGGTTCAGTCCTCCGGCCACGGGCCAAGACTTGAAGCTCTCTCTGGGGATAGTTCCGCCGGACAGCACTGCACAGAGCATCCCTGGAGGGCCACATGGAGATCTTGGAGAAACTTCTGGAGAGCGGGGCCACTGTGGACTTCCAGGATCGGGTATGTCAAAGGGCAGGGATGGATGGGTATGTCAAAGGTGGGGGTGGATGTAACACTGAGAGACCCTCTTTCCCCACCAACCTAGGACACAGAGAGGCTACACCTAGTGTTGGGTCATGCCTCTGCTGGGCAGTGTGGCCTCAGTCAAGCCCGGCTCCTCCTGCAAGGGGCCTCTGCCTATCAGCAGTCCCTTTGTCCTGGGTATTCACCTGTCATTGGAGCTGGAGAACTTGGCCCCCTGGGGCACTTTCTGCACTGCAGTCCACAGCTAGGCCCCATCCTTCCCTTCCAGCTGGACTGCACGGCCATGCATTGGGCCTGCCGTGGGGGCCACCTGGAGGTGGTAAAACTGCTGCAGAGTCGAGGAGCAGACAACAACGTGAGGGATAAGGTGAGACGGCAAGGCAGGTGCAACAGGCGTAGGCAGGCTGCGGGGAGGAGGGGGCAGAAAGCAGAAGAGCCCAGGGAGCCTTGAAGGCCTGGACAGGGATTCCACCGCAGTGTGCTGCTGGGCCCTGTCACTGCTATAGCCCTTGAGGGACAGGGGAGCAGGAAGGACAGACGGGAATGAGAGCCCCACTCTCTTGGGGCGGGGGGGGGGGCTTTGAAACACCTCAAAAGATGCCAGAATTGTTCATCCTTGCAGTCCTGCATCGTTGACTGTCTAGCCATCCTTCTGTACTCATCCATCCATTTGTCTGTTCATTCATTTATTCATTCTTCTACCACCCTTCCATCCATTCATTCATTCCAAGTAACATGAGCCTCTGTTTGTCATCTATAAAATGCCTTAATGAGGTTTTTAAAGATTTTATTCATTTTTATTAGAAAGTCAGATTTACAGAGAGCAGAGACGTAGATCCATTGGGTTACTCCCCAAGTGGCCACAATGGCCAGAGCTGCACCAATCTGAAACTGGAAGCCAGGAGCTTCTTCTGGGTCTCCTACATGGGTGCAGAATCCCAAGGTTTTGGACCATCCTCTTCTGTTTTCCCAAGCCACAAGCAGGGAGCTGGATGGGAAACAGGGCCTCTGGGACACGAACCGGACCCTGTATGAGATCTCAGCACTTGCAGAGGGAAGACTAGCCAATTAAGCCATTGTGCCAGATTCTTAACAAATTCTTAATGCAGATTGTGTGAGACAATCCATAGAAACAGGTTATGTATTCAACAGGAGACGTGTGTGTGCGTGTGTGTGTGTGTCTTAAGGTTTAGTTATTTGAAAGGCAGACATGGAGGAAGAGAGAGATCTTTCATTTGCTTGTCTACTTTCCAAATGGCTATAATGGTGAAGGCTGTGCCAAGCTGAAGCCGGGAGCTTCACCCAGGTCTCCCACATGAATGGCAGGAGCCCATGCACTTGGATCATCTTCCATTGTTTTCCCAGGCAAGTGGCAAGGAGCAGGATTAGAACTGGAGCAGCGAGGAAATGAACTGATACCCATTTGGCATGCCAGCATTTCAGGTAGTAATTTTGCCTGCTATACCATAATGCCAGTCCCACCAAGGCCAATGTTTTGTAACCTTTATCATGCCCATCACATATCCTTTCTCAACAAGTGGCATTTATTACAATTATGAAAAGAAGAATGGAGGGCCCAGTGCGGTGGCCTCGCGCCTGAGGTCCTTGCCTTGCATGTGCTGGTGCCAGAGTCCAGCTCCAGCTGAGTTTGGAACTCGAGAAGGGTGTGTGGAGTGGGTGTAGAGAAAATATATGGACCACTACAATTTCAGGCTCATAATGGACAATGCAAGAAAGCTGTCCTCTTTATACAGAAGCCTTCACAAACTGGCACCGACTTTTCACACCTGGTCAAGTGGACATTCCTAAGGGTAGTTCTGCCAGTTGTTTCACCTTGAGGCAGGATATCAGCCGTCCTAATCCTGTGCTCAGGAAGTTCTCAATACATGGCACATATCAATCAGTAACACATTCCCACTACAATCCTCATTCTACAACTTAATTTTGAATCAGTTAAGGGAGGAAATGCGTCACAGAAGGAGGGAGCTAAAGATCAAGGAAAGCAGGGAAAGAACCGTAAGCAGAGATTCCCACTACATCCAGGGACTTACTGCCCTTGATTAGCACATGGTCAATAGGAGCAGCCAAGACAGCATGAACAGTAAAAGGCCTTTTTGCCAACATCAACTTCCAAGTTCACATTGATAATAAAGACCAACTCCGCAGTGGCAGACAATGCCTAAATAGATTACAGAATTCTCAGTGGGGTTGTCCGGTGTCCATGCAGAGAGAGGTGGAATTGCTTTTCAGGTGGTTGTAGAAACATCCACCAGGCTCTGCCATACAGCAGGAAATTCCTTGCGGCCTTGCCTGCAATGGAACAGTTCTCTTCACAGCCTCATGTCCTCCACACCCACTGCACAGACCCCAGCACACCAGGATCCCATATGGGTGCTAGTTCTATTCCTGGCAGCTTCACTTCCCATTAGGCTCCCTGCTTATGGCCTGGGAAAGCAGCCAGGAATGGCCCAAAACCTTGGAACCTTGCACCCGTGTGGGAGACCCGGAGAAGTTCCTGGTTCCTAGCTTTGGATCAGCTTAGCTCCAGCCGTTGCAGTCATTTGAGGAGTGAATCATCAGACGGAAGATCTTTCTCTGTCTCTCCTCCTCTCTGTATGTCTGAATTTGCAATAAAATAAATAAATCTTAAAAAGAAGAAGAATGGAGGCACAAAGATTTGATCACAGGTGGCGGAGAAGGAAATCATAGAAGGCTTCCTGGAATAGGTGGCATTTCAGAGTTCAACTCCTGGGCTAGGTAACGGGAAATGATACCAGTCCCTGCTCCTCCAGGCCTCAGGCCTTGACATGAGGATTTGGGAGCTCAGTTTAGGCAGCTCCCCTATCCTGGTGTTTCCTTTTCATCCAGTTGCTGAGCACCCCTCTGCATGTGGCAGTCCGCACAGGGCAGGTGGAAATCGTGGAGCACTTTCTGTCCCTGGGCCCAGACGTCAACGCTAGAGACAGAGTGAGTGCCGAACACTCCCGGCTGGGCCCCACCGTGGGTGTGGTCCTGCCCTCTGGAGCCCTGGGGCAGAGTCACTAGTCCAGCTCCCCTTGCCCTGTCCCTCATCCTGCTACCCCAGCGGGTCACACTGAGGGTCAACCTTGGCTCTAGGAAGGGGACAGTGCCCTGCATGATGCCGTGAGGCTCAACCGCTACAGAATCATCAAGCTGCTGCTCTTGCATGGGGCTGACATGATGGCCAAGAACCTGGTGAGTGAGTGCTCTGCCTCCGTGCTCCCATGAGTTCAGTGATGGCCCCCCAGTGGGGCAGCCCTCCTAGCCTAGGGGACAGGCCACAGGCTCCAGCCCCTCCTCACGGTACTGAAATCTTCCACTCCAACACCAGCCTCCCCAGCAGGAACCTCAGCCCTTGGATGTCCCACCTTATTGGTTTCTGGAGACCTCTAGTCACAGCTCTTCTTGGGGGTCCCCTGTGTGTGTGCTGGGGGTCACTCTTGATTAAGAAAGGCTAAAAGGATCGGTGAGGGTGAGACCCGGGGAGATGTGGAGAAAGTGACAACAAGGGCTTTCAGCCTCAGTGTGTGGACACCAGAAGCTGGGTCACTGGGTCATTAGCCCAGTGGCATTGCTGGCCTCTCCCTGCTGGGGGTCAGCAGCACCCATGCCCCATGTGAACACACATTATCAGCTGTCCCCACTTAAAAAATCCCCAGCTGTCCATGAGGCCCCCTTCCTGAATGGACTTTGCAATGAGGAACAGCTTTCCTGTCCGTTCGCCTCCTCCTCTGCCACCCCTAGGCTGGGAAGACCCCCGCTGATCTAGTGCAGCTGTGGCAATCTGACACTCGGCACGCCCTGGAACACCCGGAGCCTGGACCTCAGCAGAACGGGCTAGACGCGCCGGCTGAGAGCAGCGGCCAAGAGACGCCCCAGCCTGTCCCTGCCCAATCATAGCCTCCTCAACCCAGCCGGTGCTTCTTAGATGGCTCCCAGGGCCACCTGAGGACCCCCCCCCCCGCACCAACCAGGCGCACCTGCAAATGACCACAATAAATGCACACCCTTTCTCCCCTCCCCCCGCCTCCCTCTGCTACTTGTGCTCTTCATTTCCGTTTGGGTCCGACTGCTCTGAAATGCAAGGGGCGTCGCGGAGCCCTTTGGCCCCTGTGGACTCGCCCCATTGCTTTCCCTGCCCCTTGCCCAGTTCCCCAGGGCCGGGCTCAGTCCCTGCCTGAATCAGTTAAACAAAGCACTCTCTCCAGGCCGCCTTCTGGTGACCGTAGTTCTGCGAGGCAGGCCTGCGCAGGCCGGATATGCCCCGCCTCCCACGGGGCAGGCTTGGTCAACCAATCAGCTACCTCCAGCTCCTTGGAAACCCCGCCGGCTCCCTGCTGTGGAGATGGGATTTGTGGGAAAAGGGCCTACACGGCTGTTAGAGACTTTATTGGGAGTTAGAACCCCAAGAGCCAGCCCCGCGCCTGGCCAGGAGGACACTGCTTTGTGGCATATCTCCACCGTTGCCCTAGGGTCTTTCAAGCCTTCCCCCTGACCCCTACTGAGGGCAGCCAACTCAGGCCTGTCCCAATGCCTGCCCGTGAGTCAGGGGCAACGCAAATTTTTAACCAGACACATTGATGATTAACAGTGGGTAGGAAGGAGGCCAGATTCGCCCTCAGCCAACAGTGCAGAGCAGCTGGGTCCTGGGCGTCCCACGGAGATGCTGAAACATCGGCTGTGGTCCTCTGTGAGGCAGGGGCTGGGCAGAGGCTTGCCCAGAAACGTGAGGGGCTGGGCCTCTGGGCACGGGAAGAAGATGGACATTGCAGGCATCTACCCACCTGTGACCACCCCGTTCACGGCCACCGCGGACGTGGACTATGGGAAGCTGGAGGAGAACCTGCAGAAGCTGGGTACCTTCCCTTTCCGAGGTAAACGGGGCCTGGCCAGGGTAGGGGTCAGGCAGGTGTCAGTGACCCTTCCTCAGAAGCTGCCCAGAGATGGTGTGCAGGGCTGGGAGCTGGGGGCACTGGACTGGACTCAGGAGACAGGTGGGTCTCTCCCTGCTGGCCTGTGAACTTGAACCCAACTGCCTGCCTCAGTTTCCCCAGTTGCTACCTGTGAAGTATGTCTTTAGTCCCCAGAGTTAGTGTGGGACCCAAATTGGAGATTGTTTTCAAAGTCCTTGGTTGGGCAGGTGGGAGAGTTCGCTGGTGGGGTTGTGGTCAGACCCAACTTACGATGTCATCTCCCCTGGCACCTTGCTTGTGCTCTCTTTGCAGGCACAGCCCCCCTTAGCAGCCCCAGCTCCCCCTGCTCCATCTTCTCTTCCCCTCCAGGGAGAGACAGCCAGATCGTATGTGCGCCATTCAGTCACAGCGGTGATCAGGATGCCCTGTCCCACCTCTCCTTCCCTGCCCATCCTCCCCTCTCAGCCATGGCAATCCCGAGGCAGTGCCCTCAATAGTTCCACCTTGCAGATGGGACCCAGGGCTCAGAGTGACATGATCGCCTGTCCAAGGTCACTCAGCCAAGTCCTCACTGAGCATGCTCTGCTTGTGTGCATTCATTCTTGCTGGGCCCTCTGAGTTGCTAGTCAGGCTGGTCCACAGGTGTGAGTGGGCACCAGCTTTGGGAGCTGTGACTGAAGCAGTGTGGAGCAACAGTCCTAGCTGCAGACAGACTGGTTTCCTCACACACTTTGTGATGATTTCCCTAAGCCTCCGTTTCCCCAGCTGACACATGGAGGTGAAACTGCCCACATCAGGTGATGGTTGCAAAAAAAAATCTTGGACATTGTAGGGTGACGAGTGTGAGAAGATTTGGTTCCTGTAATGCTAATTCAAATGACAATGGCTGGCATTGTGGCAAAGCTACAATATGGCAGTGACTGCTGGCCATACTGGGACCTCATGCTCAGCACAGGGCTGAGGTGATGTGACCCTTCTCTGGGGAACAATGAATGCCCTGCTGACAGCAGGGACACAGCCTCGAAGTGGGTTTCTGCTGCAACATGGGTCACTGGGGCCAGAAGGTTTGGACTGAGGCCGGGGTCCCCGAAGCAAAAGCAAGAAGCTCCTTAATGGGCTCTGCTCCAAGATCAAGGACTTTGTCCTTCAGTGGCAACAGTGGGGAGGGTGGACTTTGTACCTGAGAACCCAGAGACCTTCAGCCTTTCTGCCCTCCTGGCCCTCCCTCCGACCCCTATCCCTCCTGCAGAGGGCGAGGGCAGGTGGCACAGGAGATCGCAGGGAGGGCTCCACGTGTGCCCATCTGCCTGCAACTCTGCTGTAACCCTTCTCTGCTAGCCATGTGGCAGGGGCTCTGGGAGATAGCGGGCCTAGGTGGGAATCCTGATTCAGACAGTGACTTCAAAGAAATCCCAGCCACTCCAATCCAGCTTCCTGGTGTTGCCTGGGGGAGGGGATACCCATGTTTCCTAGGAAGTTAGCTCTGGAGGTATTGGCACTGAGCATGCATAGCTAGATCCCTGGCCCTGATCCCCAGTTCCATCCAATTGTTCAGGGAGGAAGCAGGGAGCCACATTAGCTCTTAAACTTGTCCTGGCCCCTGGGATGGACTTGGTGCCCCAGCCCACATTGCAAAGCCTCCTACAACAGGTTACAGGTTCTATAGAGACAGAATGGAAGCTTGCCCTTGACAAATCCTCAAATTTCAGTCAAGGCACCTTCTGGAACACATGCCTGTACTGGGTACTTTCTGTCCTGCCAGCATCACCAATTGTATTGCTCATTTTGATAAAGAACTTTTTTTTTAAGGATTCATTTATTTAATCTGAAAGGCAGGGTAACAGAGAGGGAGGGGCAGAGAGAGATGATAGATAGATATCTTCTATTTGCTGATTTACTCTTTTTTATTTTATTTTTTCTTATTTTTGCAATTTATCATGCAATTTCATAGTCTGGGATTCCCCTGCCCTCATTTTCTGCCCCCTGATAGATTTTTCCCGTAATGCCACACTCTTCACAAGGAGTTACAATTCCATCAGTCTGCTATTTAAGTGTGTCCTGACAATACTGGTACAGACAATGTCGGACAGTCCATCATCCCATTATCTAGAGCTGATTCACTCTTAAATGGCTCCAACAGTTGGGCCAAGCTAGATCTAGGAGCTTCATCCTGGTCTCCCATATAGGTGCAGGGGCCCTATAGCATTTGGGCCAGTTTCATGGCTTTTGCCAGCTCATTAGCAAAGATCAGGAGTGGAACAGTGGGCCTCAAACAAGTGGTCATATGGATGCCAGCACTTCATGTGGCAGCTTAACTGGCTATGCCTCAGTGCCAGCCCCAAAAACATTCTTTCAAAGTAAAAGTCGTGTTCAGAGCCTAGATAGAGGGAGGAGTTGTGCTGAAAGGCCATTTGGCCTGAACTCACCCCCATAAACAGCCTCAAAGATGGACTTTGAGTTGTTATTTTCAAGTGAGGTAGTGGCAGCTGTAGAGCCACTCAGCAGGACGGGAGATGTCCTTCATCAAACTTTAAGCTGGTGTCTTAATCTTTCGACAGCTAAAGTGGACCATGATTTCCTGTGATGAGTACAATATTACTATGTATGTTGAAACCATTACTCTGTTAAAGAAATTTTTTTTTTAAGTATCCTAATTTGTGAAGCTGGTGCATTGGCTCAACTGGTTAATCCTACCCCACCAAGTGCCAAGATCTCAAAAGGGTGCCAGTTTGTGTCTTGGCTGGTCCACTTCCCATCCAGCTCCCTGCTAATGGCCTGGGAAACGCAGCAGAAGATGGCCCAAGTGCTAGGACCCCTGCGCTCACATGCGAGACCTGGATGAAGCTCCTGGCTTTTGGTTTCAGCCTGGCCCAATCCCGGCCATTATAACCATTTGGGGAGTAAACCAGAGGATGGGCAATATCTCTCCTAATCTCTCCCTGCCTTTCAAATAAATCTTAAAAAAGAAAGAACAAATGAACAAGAACTACACCAAATCCCACTTGAACTGCTTTTCTAAAGCAAGCACCTCGAGCACAGGACATGTTCTGTGTTTTCAGGTACATTTCCAAGGTGTAAGGTAGCAGCCTGCATCTTATAGTGGCCCCGGGGATCTGAGACTCAATGATGTCCTTCCTATCCATTCTGCCTTCTTGGCCCCCTGCTTATCTTATTCCATTATGACCTCGCTTATTCCAGAATGAGCTCCCTCCTAGGCCTGTTTCCTTCTGAACTCTGCCTTCTAATGGGGCCAGAGGCTGCAAGTTGCAGGGTAGAATAAGCCAGGCTGCCAGGCAGAGATGGGCCCTGCCAAGAAGGAGACATTCTGGAGACACCCCAGTCTCCAATGATCAGGACTGGATGCCAGGGCAGACAAAGGGGCACTGTGCCATGGCCAGCCCAGGCCAGCCCCTGCCCCTTGGGAGCCACTCGATGGGGAGACAGAGCACTGAGACAGGCACATAAAGATGAAGCTGAAGAATGGGCCATGAGCAGAGGACACAAGGGAGCCAGAACTGGAGAAGCTGCCCTTTCCAGCCTTGAGAACAGCAGAAGACAGGACCCAGGCCTCAGACGATGCCTGCCAGGCTGGGTGAAAGATGCTGGGGTCCCTCCCCACCCCACCCCCAGCTGCCTTCCTCACAATGGGGTCCATTGCTGAGGTGGGAGGGGCAGCTCAGGGAGGGCCTGGTGGGGGCCCTGCCTGCCAGACACCCTCCGGGAGCCTGCCCTCTTAAGCATGAGCTACACCACCTGGGCTCCCCCAGTGCCAGCGTGCTCTTAGCCCCACCTTTCCCACCTGTGTGGGTCCTGGAGACCCTCTGGGAGCTCATCCAGCAGCCATCATGCAAGGTGGTGCTGGGGATGGCCCTCCTGCTGGGGAGCGGAGGCCTCATTATGTGGGCACAGCACAAGTGGAGACAGAAGACAGACCTAGAGTCTGTACAGGCCAAGCCCAAGCCCTCAGAGTGCCACAGAGCACAGACCCAGAGCTGGATCAAGTCTCACTTTAGCTGCCTTTCTGAAGAAAAGTTAACTCCCGAGCTCTGTGTCAGTGCCATCAGCGATGCTGTGCCGAGGGGCAGCGGGAGCCAGGAAGCTAGCACCACTATCCACATGGAGACCTTTACCACACAACCGGGAGACACGGGCACAGCTCTGCGCAGGGAGTCCTTCACCAGCAGACGGAAGATATCTGGGACCTCGGTGATCAAAGAGACCCAAAAGGAGTCTGGAAGATCCCCATCCATGGATGAAGCCACGTGGGCCACCGTGGCTGCCTGCACCAAGGAGATTGACACCAAGGGGCGGCACCTGGCTAACTCCATGCTGCAGCGGGCCACAGCGTACCAGCACTCAGGCCGCCTGGAATCCAGGGACATCACGCAGGAGGAGCTGAAGGCCCTCGAAGAGGTGGAAATGAAGCTCAAGAGCAGTTTCCTCACTCGTCGGGAGACCACCATAGCTGGTGCCAATCATTCGCACACTTTATATGGCCGCAGTCACTATGGCCACCAGAACCAGCAGGGTCATCCAAGTCACCTGAGCCATGTTGGTCATCCAGGTCAGCCAGGCCACCGGGGACAGCCAAATCAACAGAGCCACCTAGGCCACCAGGGTCACCCAGGCCACCAGGGACAGCCAAGCCACAAGAGCCACCTAGGCCAACAGAGCCACCCAGGCTACCAGGGTCAGGCAAGCCAACAGAGCCACCCAGGCCACCAGAGCCAACTAGGCCACCAGGGTCACCCAGGCCAACAGAGCCACCCAGGCCACCAGAGCCATCCAGGCCACCAGAGCCACCCAGGCCACCAGGGTCACCCAGGCAACCAGGGACAGCCAAGCCACAAGAGCCACTCAGGCCAACAGAGCCACCTAGGCCTCCAGTGTCACCCAGGCCACCAGGGGCAGCCAAGCCCCAAGAGCCACCCAGGCAACCAGGGTCACCCAGGTCAACAGAGCCACCTAGGCCACCAGGGTCAGCCAAGCCACAAGAGCCACCCAGGCCACCAGGATCAGCCAAACCAACAGAGCCACCCAAGCCTCCAGGGCCACCCAGGCCACCAGGGTCAGGCAAGCCAACAGAGCCACCCAAGCCTCCAGGGCCACCCAGGCCACCAGGGTCAGGCAAGCCAACAGAGCCACCCAAGCCTCCAGGGCCACCCAGGCCACCAGGGTCAGGCAAGCCAACAGAGCCACCCAAGCCTCCAGAGCCACCAAAGCCACAGTCTGCCCAACCACAGCTACCAGATCTGCAATTCCCTTGAAGCCACCTAACCATGGATGGACTTACCCCTTCCCCTAGTAGGGCTGGCCCATGTACACAGGCTTATTTTCTCCCATGGGGTGACCCGTGGGGCCCCGGGTAAGGTGTTGCTGGCCACAGTCCCTCTTCCTCAGACTTCCTCTGTGGGCCTCTTCCACTCGAGGATGGCTCCCAGGGATGGAGAATGAGAAGGAAGCAAAGCAGCCCAGTCAGACCCTGAGGTCCCCCAACCTTCCCCACCCCCCTCCAAGAGAAGATGGAAGAGGCAGATGCCAGGAGCAACTGAGAGCTCCCTGCTGATGCCACATGCCTGGAACTGAGCCAATAAAGCCTTGCATCCCCTCACTCTGAGTCCAAGACTCTGTAGGTGACAGGGATGGAGCGAGCGTCCTGGCCGGGCTGTCTACAACAGCTTTGCCAGCCTCAGAGCCTGGTGCTGGGATAGGTCCTGGGCCTCCACAGCCAACAGCTTGCTGTCGCCAGGAAAGTGGGAAGTGGCTAGATGGTGGAAGCAGCAGGATTGAGAAACAGGCTTTCAGTAGCCAGTAAAGCAGCTTGTGTGGGTCTTGGGGCCACCTCCTGTTGGTGCATCCTCATTCTATGTCTGCTGCCGTTTGTGGCAGCCCGCCTTGCAGCTCTCTCCCCTGCCTCCCCCAGGTCCACTGAGATGCATGCTGGTGCGTCTGCACTGTCTATATCTGTGGCTTTCATTGGGCATAATGTATTCTCTCTCCCTGTTTGTGTTACCATGGACATGGCCAGGGCTGTGGCTGCTGCCGCCCTAGACTTCTCTGTTGAGCGCATGTTCAATTTGGGAACTTGCCATGCCCCATGTTCAGTGACAGGATTCAACTATCTCAGGCATCTGGAATTCAGAGACATGATGTGCCTGAGACACAGCTGAGATTAGAGCTCAATTTTGCCTAACTCCAAAACCCATATCCCAATCCCTGGCCTGTGCTGCCTGCCACTCCTCTTCCCACTGTCCCTGGAGGATCCTGCCCCTCTCATGCGTGCCCCCACCTCTTCCCACATGTTCTGATGCATTCTCTGTGGTGCTACAAGCCTGGGACTCTCCCTGCCTCCTCTTCCTGGGTCCTAAGAAGCTATTTCGAGGGCAAGGAGTGCCATGCCCTCCACCTCCTGCCTCACTCAGGCAGTTGCTAAAGTCAGCTGTTTCTCCGTGGGGCTTGGAGAAGTCAGTTCCACGTGGCTATCTGACAAAGCCACTTCTTCTCATTTGGGTCTATTATGGATCAACTCAAATTCCAAGGGCCAGAATCAGCTGCTGATGGATCAGTCCATAAGCACATATAAATACTGCCAATTTTATAGCGGACAGGCAGGAGTATTTTTATTCTTGACAGTGGCGTGGGGAAGAGAAAGAGAATGGACTGTTTCACTCTCCAAAGGGCCAGGATAAAGCCAGGAGCCAGGAGCTTCACCCTGGACTCCTATGTGGGTACAGGAACCCAAGCACTTGAGCCACCTTCTTCTGCTTTCCCAGGCACATTAGCAGGGATCTGGAACTCATACTGTTGCTCATATGAGATGCTGGTGTTGTAAGCAGCAGCTTCACTTGCTGTGCTACAACACTGGGTCCTAGTCTCTGCATTTCTAACAAAGCATATATATGTTTAAAGTTTTCAAATACTTTGGTTTTTTTTAAGGTTAAGAATTTTTTTATTGAAAAGTCAGATATACAGAGAGGAAGAGAGACAGAGAGGAAGAAATTCTGTCTGGTGATTCATTCCCCAAGCAGGCACCACAGCCAGTGCTGAGCCGATCTGAAGGCAAGAGCCAGGAACCTCTCCTGGGTCTCCCACACAGGTGCAGGGTACCAAGTCCTTGGGCTGTCTTTGACTGCTTTCCCAGACTATAAGCAGGGAGCTAGATGGGACAGGGCTGCCAGGATTAGAACCAGTGCCCATATGGGATCCCAGCGCATGCGAGGTGAGGACTTTAGCTGCTAGGCTTCCACACCAGGCCCCAAATACTTTGGTTTTAAGTTGATGTCAAAGTTTTGATAGACTTCTGTTGCAAACAAGATGATAACCTGTTTGGCCAGGTGCAGTCTCGGTGAAGGTGTTTTTACCAGAAGAAGGGCAGCTCTCAGTGGATTTGGCTCAAGAGAAGTTCACAACTGCAAGGCAGGAGAGTCAACCAGGAGGGTGCTAGTCTCCCACATCAATGCTGAGTTCCATGGAAGCTCATCAGGAGATGGAAGCTTTCCACCAGGAATGCTTATTTCTTCCTGGAGGGAAATTTACTACCTCCTGCAAAAGAATTCCACTTGTTCTTTGGCACAAGTTGTCACCTTTCTGTAAAGATTGCCAGGTGGTGTAACCAGGAAGTCAGAACGAGGGGATACCAACCCCTGAGCTTGAGGAGACCTGGCCAAATAAAACAGGTGCCAGGCAAGGAGAACAAGGGCTGTAGGGCTAGAGGGAAGGGGGATTATCGAAAGCCTGGAAGAGAAGCATGGGAGGCAGGGAGGCATGCGAGGAAGGTATAGAGGCAGGAGAGTAACTAGGGGAGCCCTGGTGGGCAGTGACCACAGCAGGATGAAGGCAGGCATGGGGCAGAAGGCACAGCTTAGCACATGGGGGAGGCATTCAAGACCTTTCTCTAGTCCAGCTTCTTATTTTTTACGAAAGCCAGGTGGAGAAATAATCCCACAAAAGGTCTGGACAATGACAGGGTCCTATGGACCTATGAGCAAGTAAGTAGGTAATAGAATACAAGGAATAGATCATGGGCGTTCAGAGGGGTCCCAAGAACTTCTTGGAGCAGGTAGCAAGAAGACGGAACAGCAGCTGGGATGCTCCTGATGGGCCAGACTAATTTTAGCCATAGGGAATCATAACGTTGCATGTGTGTCCCATCCACTCCCCTTCCTCAGCCACCCAGTTCTCCCCAGAGCATCCAGGGGGAAGTGAGCCTCTTTTGGCTTTCAACCCGAGGGGCCCTGACTGGTCCATGAGGAAAGCAAAAATTCCCTTCAGGACCAACCACCAACCTGGTTCCAGGTGCCAGTAAGAAGCTGATGGTGCTGCAGGTACTAAGAATCTGTCCCGGGCTCCTCTGACCTCAGAGCTTGCACCAAGCTGCTCACACCACCACCACCACACAGCCTCCCTGTCCCTCTGTCTGACCCATGGGCACCCTGGCCCTTTCCTCTCCTCCAGCCTCCTCTCCCTGCACTGGGGGCACAGCAGGCCTGAAAGGGTTCTTGGCAATGCCAGTTCACAGGATTGGAATGATCGGGCGAGAGGGTCATATCAGGGAAGCCAGAATACAGGGGCCCCGTGCTGTTGCTGCAGCTCAATACCCAACTGTCCCACTGTGGAGGCCAGAACTGCCCAAAGGGCCCCTGGGGCCTCTGGGATTGACTACCAGGAGGAAGGGTGATGTGAAGAGTGAATGACAATGGCAGGCCAGGATGGGAAGGATGGCATGTTTGGTACTTGAATAGAGGAAGCAGCAAGAGCTTGCTTAGTCTCTGAATCCTGAGTCAAATGGGAGCCAGTGACAGCCAGACTGGCAGCTTTCGACCCACTCAGAAAGCACAAGAGCTGTATCCTTTGGGCCGCCGGGAGGCTCCTAGCCTGGCGAGGAGTAAGGAAACTTCTGAAGGCAATGAAACAGAAGCCAAAAGTTACATGTCTCAAGATATTCCCTGTGATATTTCCAAGGCAAAAAACTAGTAGGAGGAAAAAAAATAGCGACGACGGCAAAACATAGTGAAGTGTTCAGTGAGAGCTAGCCTGGCCACCAGCTCCGGGAATGGTAATGTTGTGGTGAGCTGCATGGACAAGGCTAGATGGGGAAAAGCTGAGTTGACATTACGCTGTGTCCCCTCGCAGATGACTCATAGGAACAATTTCTCTTGCTGCCAGTGCCAGGAAACTCTGTGTCTTTTCCTAGGCAGCTCTGGGGCTCGGCATGTCTGCTAGCTGACCGTGTTTCCCTTTTGGCTGTGACGGGAAGCTCCAGATAAGAGGTGGCCTGTCGTCTCCAGCCGAGGGGCTGGGACTCTGCCACATGGCTGCTCCATGCTTCCCCCAGTCGCTTTCTGCTCACGCACAGAGCTGTTGCACTGTGTCCCATAACCACACGCAACTTCAGTTGCTTTAAAAGTGGAATGAGATAAGAGAAGGGAAAAGAGGAGGAGCGGAGTAGATGGAAAACACAAGAGAGGCAAAGGAGAAACTGACAGGAGAAAGGATTTTGCTAATATTCCCTTAATGTTCAGCTAAAGAACATCAGTTCTGCCACAGCCCAGCTCGAGCCAGATGCCTGTGAAAATTAGAAGTCTTTCAAATAGATGATTGATAAAACAGGAAAGTGCAAAATAAAATTAAGTCACTTTGCATCTAGAACATTGGTAAAAATGAGTTCTCACAGGACCAAGAGTTGATGTGGGCCAGTGACAGGAGGTTCTTCCATGCTGTTGAGGGGCTATGGGCTGAGTCATTAGACATGTGGCATCTGTGATCTGCATGTGGACCTGCCTCAGCAGTCACACACCCAAGCACCTACATTCCTCTTAGATTGGGTACCCGTAACCAAGGGTTTCCACAAAGCATTTGTTGTGCAGCCAACATTGTGATGTCTGTGACGCTAGCATCCCATATGAGTGCCAGCTCAAGTTCTGACTGTTTCACTTCTGGTCTAGTTCTCTGCTAATGTGCCTGGGAAAGCAGTGCAAGACAACCTGAGTACTTGGAGCCCTTGAACCTATATGGGAGACCCAGATGGAGTTCCACGGCCCTGGCTTTGGATTTGCCCAGTTCTGGCCATTGTGGCCATTTGGGGAGGAAGCCAGCAGATGAAAGGTCTCTTTTCTGTCTCTTCTTCTTTTTCTATGACTCTGACACAAACAAAATTAGAAAGCTGAGTTTTGGGAGACCTGGAGGAAGTTCCTGGCTCCTGGCTTCAGATCAGTGCAGCACTGGCTGTTGCAGTCACTTGGGGAGTGAATCATCGGACAGAAGATCTTCCTCTCTGTCTCTCCTCCTCTCTCTATTATCTGACTTTGCAATAAAAAATAGAATAAATCTTTTTTTAAAAAGTAAAAATCTTCATGTCCTCAGCTAGAGGATGAGAAATAAGTTGTGGTCTAACCAGACAACCAAATGCTATACATGATAACGCGTGGATCAGAGTTATGTGTTCTGCCACAGATAAAACTCAAAACAGAATGTTAGGCAAAAGCAGCGAGCTGCCGATTATATGAGCTGGATTCTGTTTTCTTTTATTCATTTATTTATTAAGATTTCTCCTTTTTTTTTTTTACTTGAAAGGCAGATTTGCAGAGAGGAAAGACACAGAGGAAGATCTTCCATCTGTTGGTTTACTCTCCAAGTAGCTGCAACAGCCAGAGCTGAGCCAATCTGAAGCCAGGAGCCTCCTCCAGGTCTGCCACGCAGGTGCAGGGTCCCAAGGCTTTGGGCCGTCCTCAGCTTTCCCAGGCCACAAGCAGGGAGCTGGATAGGAAGTGGAGCAGCTGGAACATTCCAGCACCCATGTCTGTTGAAAGTGAATAAAGGCACCTATGGAAACAAACGCCTGAGTAAGGACAGAGAGCTGAGGAAGAGGAGAGTGATCTGGGGAGGGGTCCCAGGGGTGCTGGGGGCTCAGCTGTGATTTATCTTATTGTTCTTTTTTGTGGAACTGAAGCATTTCATTAACACAAAGCAAAAGAGTGGGTAAAGCTGTCACCTGTGATGCCAGTGGCCCATATGGGTGCTGATTCAAACCCCAGCTGTTCGACCTGCAGTCCAGCTGCCTGCTAAAGTGCCTGGAAAGACAACAACGGATGTCCCAAGTATTTGGGACTCTGCACCTGTGTCGAAGACCATGGCCTGACTCAATCCCAGCCATTGTGACCATTTAGGAAGTGAATCAGTAGATGAAGGATCTCTCTTTCTCTAGCCTTGCCTTTCAAATAAAGTCTTAAAAGAGAGAGAGAGAGACAAAAATGATATCAACACCGGCATTGTAGCTGGACCAGGTAGAAAGGAAACGTGTGAGGGGAGGTGGGCATTTGTGTGCATGTTGAACACCAGTGTTCTGGCTGTAAGGAAGTGCGCCCACGTAGGGGGTGGGTCAGCATTAGTGGCTATGACAGGGTCTCTCTTGCAGGCTTTGTGGTCCAGGGCTCCACCGGAGAGTTCCCCTTCCTGACCAGCAGCGAGCGCCTGGAGGTGGTGAGCCGCGTGCGCCAGGTCATACCCAAGGACAAGCTCCTGCTAGCCGGCTCCGGCTGCGAGTGTGAGGCCAGGGTGCCCTGGGCCTGGGGGTGGCCATACATGAGGGCCACAGGCTCCTGGCCCCGGGGTGGGACTCCCTTGAGCTGCTCTGCCCTTTCCAGGCCCACTCACACCCCTGTTGCTTGCCCCACAGTCCCAGCACAGGCACTATTCCTCCCGCCCTCATGACCCTCCTTCCTCCTGCAGCCACACAAGCCACCGTGGAGATGACTCTCAGCATGGCGCAGGTCGGGGCCGATGCTGTCATGGTGGTGACCCCCTGCTACTATCGTGGCCGCATGGACAGTGCCGCCCTCATTCACCACTACACCAAGGTGGGTGAGGCTGGCAGGGGCCGAGAGGAGGCGGGTGAGACAGCGGCTCTGCCCCAGAAGAGGAGGGTGAGGAGTCAGTAGTGGGGTGGTAAGCCCACTTCCTAGGAATGGCAGCTGGGAAGATAGTGGCCTGCCTCTTGCCCTGCTGTGGGACATGGGGCAACTTATCTCTAACACGGGAGGAATGACAGTGTGTACCTCAAGGAGTTTTTGCAAGGAATCAGTGAGATCAGAACACAGAGGGCTTGAAATTGTGCCTGCTGTGTAGATGTCTGCTTCAATAACAGGGGTCTTCAAAAACATTGTGGAAAGGCGTGATGAAAAGATTATGCACATTTTGCAGGAGTCTTTGGGGAGTCCTCGTACACATCACTCACTCTCTTGCTTATAGTCCAGGTACCCAGGTGGCCCTGTGGTGACATGGGCCAACACAAGCAAGCCTTTAGCTCCTAGGATCCCCTCTTCTCTGCACCCTTAGGTTGCTGACCTCTCCCCAATCCCTGTGGTACTGTACAGTGTTCCTGCCAACACAGGGCTGGACCTGCCTGTGGATGCAGTGGTCACACTTTCCCAGCACCCGAATATCGTGGGCATGAAGGACAGCGGCGGTGATGTGAGTGGCAGCCCCTCCTGTCCGGGGGCCCCTCCTCCTTCTCCAGGTCCTGGCCTTTCTGCTGTCAGCTTCAGGGCACCTCTCCGATGGTCCCGTTTGGGTCTTCTCTGTGGTGTGGGCTCTCTGTGGCTTTGAACTTCAGGGTCTCTCTCTGGAAACTGGGCTCTTGCTCTGCCACATGTGACCAGTTTTTGCTCAGGCTGCGCAGAACAAGGCTCAACTCTCACTCAACGTTTGCTGTTGTAGGCCACCAGGATTGGGCTGATTGTGCACAAAACCAGGAAGCAGGATTTCCAGGTGTTAGCTGGATCGGCTGGCTTCCTGCTGGCCAGCTATGCCTTGGGTAGGTCTATTGTCTGGGATGCAGCCAGGCAGTGGGGTCTGCTGGGAGGAGACTGTGAGGGCTGAGGCCTTGACTCTGAAACCCCAGAGCCCTGGCTGCTCTGCCTGCTCCAGTACTTGACTCTGATCCTGTTGGGTGGAAGAAGATAGCTGAGAACATTCCCACCTGCAGTTTGCTCTGAACCCTGAGTGCCATGCTGCGATGACAAATTCAGCTCTCTCTGATCTCCCGTGTAATCCTCCTTGGAGGGCAGACACTAGGCCACTCCCCGCTGTCCAGGAGCTCATCCTTCTGTCCCCCATTTGCAGGCCAGAACCCCAGGAACGTTACTTAGACCACTTGCTCTTGTCTGCTTGGGGCAGTGGCGGTAGGAGGTCAAGATATGTAGATTTAGGTTGAACTTGAGCTTGGGAGGGCAATATGTACTGCTGTCAGCTGAAGCTCCACCGAGTCCAGGCTTGAGTGACTTTCTCAGTCCTGTGGATCACAGAGCTGCTTCCTGTCCCCTCTGGTCACTGGTGACTTCAGCATGTTGTTGGGGTTCCACACATCTCTATGCAGGGTTGAAGAGAGCATCTTTGACTTTCACCTTGGTGCTGGGCAGAGCACAGCTCTGGGGATCTGAGTTGGCTACTCAACTTGGCCCTTTGTCCACTGCGTCCGCTGGCCAAGCACCCAACCCCTCTGTCCCAAGTTTCTATTTTACCAAGTGAAGAGGCAGCATGAGGATGACAGAGGCACCAGCCCTGTACAGAGCCAGCACATAGTAGGTGTAACAGTGTCAGCTCATTCCATGAAGTCTTAAGACTGCTCCTAACCAGCCTTGGACTCGTAATCAGACTGCTGGAGGTGGCTGCCTATGCCTGTTCATTTGCACAGCCCAGATGAGAACAAAGCACACTAGAAAACATCTTTGACTTGTTCACGGCCACACAGCCAGCAGTAGGAAGCATCCAGGCATCTACCCCTGTGCCCTCACCCCGCATGCCTACCAAGGCTGAATTCCCTAAGGGGGATACAGTTTCAGAAAAGCAGAGGTGTCTAGTCTGTTCCATAGCCTTCCAGGACAGATGACTCAGGCGGCTACTGCAGAGTGCTGCAGGGTCAGCCATCAAGTGGGACTTGACAAGGCAAGAAGTCAGGGTGCAAGGGGAGACCTGGCTTTGAGCTCACCTTCAGGTCCTGCTCCCGGCTCCTCCCAGAGCAGTCGAAGGTCAACTTTCCTCTCTGGGAATGTGCACTCTGCACTCACCTGCATGGCTTTGATGGAGCCAGCCAGAAGCAGAGAAATCTGTTACCCATGTCCCCAGATTCCAGGGGTGCAGGGACAAGGGCTGGGGATCCCCTACAAGAAACCTATCTGGCTGATGTTCTACACCTTGCTCTGGGCAGGAGGCAAGGGGGGCGTGTGCGCCCTGGCCAATGTGCTGGGTGCCCAGGTGTGCCAGTTGGAGCGGCTGTGTCTCACGGGACAGTGGGAAGACGCGCAGGAGCTACAGTACCGCCTCATTGAGCCCAACTCCGCGGTGAGAGCCAGACCAGGCTGGAGGGCGGGGTGGGGTAGGGCGGAGCAGGGGCGGGGGCAGAGCTGCTGGGAGCTCACGCTCACTGCCCTTTCAAAGCAAATCCCACCCTGGTAACTCTTTGTGCCTCCCCCCAAAGACCCTGGCTTCGGACAAAGCATAGCCCTCTAGTTTATTTGTTTTTGTTTTGTTTTGTTGTCTTTTTTTAAATTTATTTTTATGTGAAAGACAGTTATAGAGAGAGGAGAGACAGAGATTTTCCATCTGTTGGTTCACTCCTCAAATGACTGCAATGACTGGAGCTGTTCTGAAGGCAGGAGCCAGGAGAATTTTGTCCAGATCCTCCACAAAGATGCAGGGCTCCAAGTACTTCTATGCAAAGTCAGACCGTGGTCCCCAGTTCGGGGTTGGACTAGTCAAGAAGAGTCTAAAACAGCAATGCTGGTCAAGTTCAGAGCCATTCCGAAGTCAGGCAAAGTATGGGATCCCTCGTACAGGTTTCTACGTACAGTTTAAATTAAATTTTTGTTTATTTGTTTTTACTTTGAAATATTTTTTGGTTCACAGCAATTGTAAGAAGTGTGTGTGTGTGTGTGTGTGTGTGTGTGTGTGTGTGTGTGTGTGTGTGTCTGTGGGCAGCGGAGATAGATCTTCCATCCACTGTTCACTTGACAAAGGGCAGCAATGGCCAGGGCCAGGCCAGGCTGAACCAGGGACCAGAGGCTTCACACAGGTCTCCCACAAGGGCTGCAAGCCACGAGCAGATGGGCTGCCATTCACCCAGGCACCTTAGCAGGGAGCTGGATGGGATTTGAACTGGTGGCAATACGGGATTCCAGTGTTGCAGATGGTAGTTTAATCTGTGGTTACACCACAGCGCTAGCCCAGGAATGGGCATTTTCACTCAACATAATTCTCTGGCGTGTCGTCTAGGTCACTGCATGTATGATGACTTCAGTCTTTTTTCAATGCTGACTAGTATTCCATGGGATGGCTGTACCATGGCCACTTCAACTATCCAGCTATTAAAGGACAGGTTTTCCGTGTGTGTGTGTGTGTGTGTGTGTGTGTGTGTGTGTGTGTGTGTGTGTTTAAGCACAAATTTCCACTTTTGTTTTCCAAAGGACAGTATCTTTCTTCATCCCTTAAAGACCATGCTGCTTGCATGGGCTTTGGTGGAGGTCAAGGAGTGGCACCGGCAGGTCCGACCAGGGAGGTGGGGTCTAGTTCTTTTTTTTTTTTTTCATTGGAAAGGCGGATATACAGAGAGGAGAGACAGAGAGGAAGATCTTCTGTCCGATGATTCACTCCCCAAGTGAGCGCAACGGCTGATGCTATGCCAATCCGAAGCCAGGAGCCTCTTCCGGGTCTCCCACGCGGGCGCAGGTTCCCAAAGCTTTGGGCCGTCCTCGACTGCCTTCCCAGGCCACAGGCAGGGAGCTGGATGGGAAGCGGGGCTTCCGGGATTAGAACCGGCGCCCATATGGGATCCCGGGCGTGCAAGGCGAGGACCTTAACCACTTGCGCCACCGCGCTGGGCCCAGGGGTCTAGTTCTTGATTTCTGACTGCCTTGCTGTGAACGGCACAGCTCACACTGTAATGGAGCTTCAGCTACAGTGTGGGAAGCCTGTAGACATTGAACACACTCGTTTCTGAGATGTTCCTCATGGCCACAGCCCCACTATGTCCCGGATGATGAACTTCTTGTTGGCCTTGTCCTTGGGCACACACTGCAGATGGGCTGCCCGTGGCTGCGGCCCTTTTTAGCACACTGGTTGTTCTTCCTCTTCTTCATCATCCTAGTACTGAGAATCCGAAAGAGAATCGGGGGTGGGGGCGGTATTTATTTATTTAATTAGGGACCGGCACGATGGCATATTTTACCCTACAGTGCTGGCATTCTGTATGGGCACTGGTTCATGTCCCAGCTGCTCTGTTACTCATCCTGCTCCCTGCTTGTGGCCTGGGAAAGCAGGGCAGGATGACCCAAAGCCTTGGGACCTTCCACCCATGTGGGAGAACTGTAACAAGTTCCTGGCTCCTGGCTTTCAATCAGCTCAGCTCTGGCAGTTGCAGCCATTTGGATAGTGAACTAGTGAACAGAAGACCTTTTCTCGCTCCCTCTCTCTGTAAAGTCTGCCTTTCAAATAAAAATAATAAATAAATCTTTGAAAAATATTTAAAGGCAGAGTTTCAGAGAGAAGGAAAGAGACACAGAGGGATAGCTTCTTCCACTGGTCCACCCGCAAAATGATGGCAATAGCCTGAGCTGGGTCAGGCCAGTTAGGAGCCGGGAGCTCCCCCAGGTTGGCCACATGGTGCCATGCACATCCCATATCCTATTGCTTTCACTGGTGCATTAGCTGAGACCTGGATCACAAGTGGAGCACCTGAGACTCAAACCAGTGCCGATCTGAAGCCAGGAGCTTCTTCCGGATCTCCTATGCAGGTGCAGGGTCCCAAGGTTTTGGGCTGTCCTCAGCTGCTTTCCCAGGCCACAAGCAGCGAGCTGGATGGGAACTGGGGCCAATGGGACACGAATCAGCGCCCAGATGGAATCCTGGCATGTGCAAGATGAGGACTTTAGCTGCTAGGCTATTGCGCTGGGCCCATCGTGTGTGTGTGTGTGTGTGTGTGTGTGTGTGTGTGTGTGTGTGTGTAAACTTTTCCTTTTTATTTTATTTTTAATGTTGTTTACATAGTTGAGAAGGATGTATGCCTGTGTGTGCCTCTGATTAGGGTGGAGAGGGTCAAGGCATGGAGGAAAGTGGATGGAGCAAGTATTTCCAATTTTTTTTTCTCCTGTAGCTGGGGTGGGAGTTGAGGGAGGAGATCACTCCTTCTTGCTAAGCTGCATCAGCACCTAGGGTTGGGGGATGCTCGTCGATGACACCCGAGGGACCCTGATGTGGGGAAGAATGTTCCCAGGGTGTTACTTGAGTGGTTTTGATAGTTCTGAGATGCTGGTTTTGTTGCTCCAGCATTGAGAAAATCCTTCCATTGGTCCATTGATGAACAAAGTCCAACTTACTGTTCTCATACCCAGATATTGCCATCAAAGTTTGGCCATGAGTTGTCCAACCTTTTCTGCTTTCCATTTTCTGAGGTGACACTTGACATCCTTGGCTGGCCTAGATGAGCTGGTTGTCGTGTCCCCTGTGTGCATCGGGGTATGCTGTCCACTGCATGAGCCTCAGCAACTGAGGAAGCAGCAGCCCAGTCCAGTCACATGCACTCCAAGGTCAGACCACACATATTGTGATTTTCCCTATGACCAGTTTTACGTCCAGTGACCTAGTTGGGGAGTCCCCCAAAGGACCTCACCTGAGGTGACCCCAGATCTGACTCTTCTGTGTCCCAAATGGTGCAGGATCCAGTTCCGTCTCAAACCTGCATCAACCTGCACACATACTTGTGAGTGCAGTTACCTGTCAGTTCTGCCCCAAGCCCTATCTCCCATGTGAACCAGTGGGTACTATGGCCTCGCCCAACCCAGCCTGTCACAAACCCAGCCCTTGGGCCCAGCACGGTGGCCTTGTGGCTAAAGTCCTCTCCTTGCATGCACCAGGATCCCATATGGGCGCCGGTTCTAATCCCAACAGCCCCACTTCCCATCCAGCTCCCTGCTTGTGGCCTGGGAAAGCAGTCAAGGATGGCCCAAAGCCTTGGGATTTTGCACCCGTGTGGGAGACCCAGAAGAGGCTCTTCCTGGGCTCCTGGCTTCAGCTCAGCTCAGCTCTGGCCATTGCAGCCACTTGGGGATTTGGGGAGTGAATCAATAGATGTAAGGTCTTCCTCTCTGTGTCTCTTCCTCTCTGTATATCTGACTTTCCAACAAAAATAAAATAAATCTAAAATAGCCTACAAACACACAAAAAAACCAAAAACAACCTGGTCCTTAAGCACACTAGCTAGAGTTGCAGCCTAGTTGGAGTGACATAATAACCCCCACCACACCCACCCCCAGCTCCGGTTCCTGTGCATGCTGGCGTGTGCAGCATGCAAGTCCAGCCCATCCAGCATCCCATCTGGCTTTTATGCACACCCATGGGTACTGCTGCTTAGCTCATCCTGGCCCACATGTAATATGATGGGTGCTGCTTCCTTGACTAGCCTGACCTCTTCCCTGCCCTGGCTCTCATGCTCAACAGCAGGAGATGTAGACTAGCAGAGGAGTGCTTTGAGCCACCCCCAACTGCTTTCCCAGGCCACAAGCAAGGAGCTGGATGGGAAGTGGAGCTGCCGGGATTAGAACCAGCATCTGTATGGGTTCCTGGTGCGTTCAAGACGAGGAGTTTAGCCGCTACACTATTGCGCCATGCCCCCATGCAAATTTTAGAAAAATTTAGTTTGCATGTGCAAAATACTGTTGCTGGGATTTTGACTTAAATTGTATTAACCCTGTAGATTACCCTGCGGACAGTCGGTGTCTTTACTGTGTTCTCGTCCTTCAACAGGGCGTGCTCACTTAGTTGGGTCTTTCTTTGAAAATTTTTTTCTTTTCTTTTTTTTTTTTTTATCATTTTGTGGTTTTCAGCAAATAAGATCTGGATGTGTTTTGAGGAATTTGGGGGCAACTGGACATGACATTATATGTTTGACTTCACTGTTTGTGTCTTCCTTGCTAGTATAGGACTCAGCTGGTTTTGCAGGTTTGTTTTGAATTCTGTGACTGCTGAATTCATTTATTTGTTCTAGGAGGGTGTTGGGATGGTGTAGATTCTGTGGGATTTTTGCATAGACAGTCATATCTACCAGTAGGCACAGTTTGATTTCTTCCTCTGATCTCTGTGTGCTTACTTCATTTTCTTGCCTTCTTAGGCTAATACTTCCTACGCTGTGTTAAACAAGAGTGGAAAGTACAGTCTTGCATTATTTCTGATATTCCATTTTTTTTTAACATCTGTTTTTTTAAGAGGCAAAAGCAGAGTTAGAGTTATCTTCCATCTGCTGGTTTATTCCTCAGATAGCTACACAGGGGCTGGGCCAGGCGGAAGTCAGGAACATAGAATTCTATCCAGGTCTCCCACATGAGAGGCAGGAGTCCAGGCACTTGGACTTTCTTTCTGCTGCTTTCCCAGGCATGCTAGCAAGAAACCGGATTAAAAGTAGAGCAGCCAGGGCTTGAACCAACACTCATATTGGCATTATGTAGGCAGCGTTTTAACTGTGCCACAATGCCATCCCCTGTTTCTGATATTAAGGAGAAAAAATTCAGCCTTTCAGAACCATTAAGCATAATGTAAGTTCTAGGGTTTTGTTTTGTTTCGTTTAGATGCTTATTTTTTAAGCTGAAGAAGTTGCATTCAATTCCCAGATGCCTTAGAAGTTGAAAAAACTGTGAAAGAATGTTGAATTTTGTCAAATGCTTTTTTAGCATTGATCAATAAGATCGTAAGACTTTATTCTGTTGAACTGTGGACTCCATTAATTTTTAAATATTTGACTCAGGCTGCTTTCTCTAAAATAAACACCACTTAGTCATGATGTATAATGATTATTTTTTAAATTTTTGTTTTCATTTTATTTGAAAGGCAAAAAGGAGAGATCTTGCATCTGCCCATAATAGCCAGGGCTGAACAGGCCACAGATAGGAGCCCACACTCTATCTGGGTGTCCCACCTGAGGTTAGGGACCCAGGTACTGCAGTCATTGTCTACCTTTTCCAAGATGTGCATTAGTAAGAAGTAGGATTAGCAGCAGAATAGCTGGAACTTGAACTGGGCACTCTGCCTTGGAATGTGGGACCCTCTCTAAGCCTGTCCCGGTTATCCTGTCTGCTACACTACTGAATTCTGCTTGCTAATCATTTGTTGCAGAATTTCGTGTCTCTGTTCAGGAGGAATATGGTCTGTAGTTTTTCCTTTTTTCTACAACTTCTGTCTATTTTTGGTATGATTGTAACAGTTAGGTTCATAAAATGAACTAACAAGTGCTCTTTCCCATTTTCTATAAGAGACTGTGTAGGACTGGTATTCAATCTTCTTTAGGGGGTTGTGGCATACATAGTAGGCTGACTCTCCACCTGTGACTTTTTGGGCACCAGTTCAGGTCCTGGTGGCTGCATTTCCAGTGCAGCTCCCTGCCATTAGCCTGGGAAGCCAACAGAGGAGAGCCCAAGTCCTTGGGCCACTGTACCCATGTGGGAGACCCAAAAGAAGCTCCTGGCTTCAGACCAGCCCAACTCCAGCCATTGTAGCTATTTGGAAAATAAACCAGCAGATGGAACATCTCTCTCTCTTTATCACACCTTCTCTATGTAACTCTGCCTTTCAAATAATAATAATAAAATCTTTAAAAAGTAAGCCTTCTTTAAATATTCGTAAATTTTTCTGATGAAATGATTGGAGGCAAGAAATTTCATTTTTAGACATTTGAGTTTGTTTTAATTACACCACCACACCAGGCTTGACTCTTGGCTGCCACTGACAGCTCCCTGATGGAGGGGCAGGAGTGTCCCCTGGCTTTTCCCCAGCTGGTCCCTAATGATGTCACCTGTGTATCTGGAAGGCCTGAGGGGAAGATAGCCTGGGGTGGCCTCCTTTAGGCTGGGCAGCAGGGACCATCCCTGCTGTTCAGCTGTTGCTGGCCTGCCTGGAGAGAGGTGACTGTCTTCAAGGGGTCCATCCTGGGAGGCTCCCCCTTTCCTGGTGCCCTGGGTAGGGGGAGCAGCCTGTGCTGGGGCCCATCAGTGTTTCATGGTTGCCAGATCCTGACCTAGCCCCGGGGGGTGCATTGTTCTGCAGGTCCCTTGTTGGTCTTTCTACCTTTCAGAATCCTCTTAACATCTGTTGTTATAGAACATCCAGGGTTTTAATTGCCCGTATTGGGAAGAATAGGGCTGAGTCTTTCTACTCCATCTTGCCAGCAGTTGAAGCTCTAAGGATTTTTCTGCATGGTAATTCCTCTCCTCCACACCAGGAACACTGCAGTTGTTGGCAAACTGAAAAACTGATAAATGGGTGCTTTAGAACTCACAGTATTATTTTAGGGTTCAATATTTAATGTAGAGTAAAATGTAATTTATTTTCACTTTACTTCTCTGGCTTTCAAACTCATCACAACATTTTAAAAACAAAATCTACTTCTAAGGTAAAAAAATAATGAGCATTGGAAGTGGAATAAAATCATGTACATGGAGGCACACATGCTTACTCTTGCCTAAGACTACAGGTCGGCAGGATAGAGCTCTGTCAGATCCTGTCTTTATTTCAAACATTTTTCTTCATGGATTTTCTCTGCATTGACTTTTTTCATTGATACGCTCAGTCATGATGACTGAGTGTCTTGGCACCCCCCTATGTTTTCCATGTGAGGCCAAGCCAGGCCATGTTTATGCACAGTGTTTGTGCACAGTGCCCCTGCAACTCATCACAGCAGGTTCCCTGAGCTGCAGAGAAAGCACCAATGTCCCCAACATGGGATGCTTGTCCTGGGATGGGCCCGGCTGGAAGGTCTTACCCTAATGAAGGCCTTTTAGCTGAACCCTTCGGTTCAGGCTCTGGTGGGGTCCCCACTCCTCACTCTAAAGAGAAGGTTTGGAATCTGTCAGGAAAGGAGGAGCTTTGGGGTTCCTGGGGCCTGACCTAGTATCATCAGAATGTGTGGGATCCTGTGACACCTCAGTGGCGTCACTGTTGTCACCACCTCGTTTTTTTCAGACGAGGTAGCGTGGGCTGCCCTACGTCTCCCTTTGCTCTGTCCCGGCTCCTGTGCCAGCCCTGGCACATACTGCGGAATGCCTGGAACACCTTTCTGCTGCCTGAAATGTAGGCTCAGACACCCTGAGAGCAGTTTGATGTCACCCTGTTGCCCTGCCCAGCTGAACACAATGTCCTTTCTCCACCTGCCCACTCCACCGACCTCCTGGCCCTGCTATATTTAGGGCTTTCTGCTGTATTTTTTTCCGCACGGAATTCAGCCCGTTCTTGGGAAGTGGGGGGGACATGCTTCAGCCAGGTCTTCGGAAGCCTGGGGTGGAACTCATCTCTTCTCTAGGTACTGCTGGTGTCCCTTCCCGACCTTAGGTCTTTCCGGCTACTCAGGCTGGGAGTATAAAAGGCAGGCTTCCAGAACATCAGCGACAGGTCCATGCCCAGGTTTGCTGAACTCTACTGGCCTCTAGTGGTGAAGACTTATTAGTCACTCATGCACTGTACCTCTCATTTAATTTCACCCTTCTTGGAGCCCCGGGCCTGTAAGGGTTTACCTTTCGTGTGTGTGTGTGTGTGTGTGTGTGTGTGTGTGTGTGTGTGTGTGTGTGTGTGTGTGTGTGTGTGTGTGTGTGTGTGTGTGTGTGTGTGTGTGTGTGTGTGTGTGTGTGTGTGTGTGTGTGTGTGAGTGTGTGTGTGTGTGTGTGTGTGTGTGTGTGTGTGTGTCTTCCCAGTTCCTTTCGTGTGTGTGTGTGTGTGTGTGTGTGTGTGTGTGTGTCTTCCCAGTTCCTTCTAACCCGCTCTGCTTCTCAGGTAACTCTTGGAGCCCCGGGCCTGTAAGGGTTTACCTTTCGTGTGTGTGTGTGTGTGTGTGTGTGTGTGTGTGTGTGTGTGTGTGTGTGTGTGTGTGTCTTCCCAGTTCCTTCTAACCCGCTCTGCTTCTCAGGTAACTCGGCGCTTCGGGATTCCGGGGCTGAAGAAGATCATGGACTGGTTTGGCTATTACGGAGGCCCCTGCCGCGCCCCCTTGCAGGCGCTGAGTCCCGCGGAGGAGGAGGCACTGCGTGCAGATTTCACCAGCAACGGCTGGCTCTGAGAGCAATCGGCATGGCGCACCAGCCTGGCGGAGCCCCTCTGTCTCCCAGCTAGAAGGAGCTTGGGAACAGCAGGGGGTACAGACACCTATTTGACATCTTCCGCAGCCTTTCACCAGGCACGTCCTGCACTCTCTGCCCACCTCAGAGCTCCAGGACTTTCTATTTTCCTATCTTATGTCTGAGTCCCTGAGTCCTGCAGGCCGGGGAGGAGTGACTTCTCCTTTGTCTCTGCTCCAGGTGCGTTCCTACACCCCAAGGCACCTGAACCTGGAGCAACAGAAGGGCAAAAAGAGGGGTGGGTGTGCACAATAAGGAAACCTGTTTTACTGAAGGGGTGGCTACTTAGGCTTGAGGCTACAAACCTGAGGCAAGTGTGACACTGATGGAAACCAGGGTTCTCCTAAGATCTTTCCAGGGGTACCAGTGGTCAGTTGGGTAAGTGCCATTGGTCTGGAAGCGCCCGGCTGCTTTCTAGCCAAAACATTCTCCCTAAATTCACTTCCCTTATCTCATACTCTTGTCTCTAGGCTCAATTCCACTGTCAGTGCATGGGAACAGCCCCTTGGCTTAACAGGTTGCTACACCCAGACACCTGATGCATAGATGCTACTTTCTGACTAACCCAGGGACTCTACACACTAGGCAGGGACGCAACACTTATTTGCTTGTAGGCATTCTTTTATTATTAAAGAAAACACTTTGTTACCATAATAAAGTTAAAGAGTAAAACCATGTCACTCTGTACAGATGGATGCTCCTTTGTGCTACAGACTGAGCTTCAGGCCACATCTCAGACTGTTCTGGAAGTCCCTGGGATCTCACAGCTTTCTTTCTCCAGGGCTCAGACCCTCACCAAGCTGACCCGACAGGCATTAGATTAATGGGGGCCCAGGGAAAGGCTTAATCAGGTGTTCCATGGGAGACCGTGAGAGGCAAGCAGGCACAACTAGGAAATTGGAGGCACTTAACATGTTCATCAAATAGGCTTTCCTGGAAAGGGTTAACCCTTTTCCATCTATGTAGTGACAGAAAAACAGAAATAATTATTTTCAATTTCTCATTATGTATTTTAAAATATATTTTAAGACTTAAAGATATATTTATTGGGCCGGTGTGGTAGCCTAGTGCCTAAAGTCCTCACCTAGCATATGCCATCACATAATTCCAGGAGCCCTGCTTCTCCTCTGCCTCCCTGCTTGTGGCCTGGAAAAGCAGTTGAAGATGACCCAAAGCCTGCACTCACATGGGGAGACCCAGAAGAAGCTCCTGGCACATGGCATTGGATCAGCACAGCTCTAGCTGTTGCGGCTGCTCGGGGAGTGAGTCAGTGGATGGAAGATCTTTCTCTCTGTCTCCCCTCCTCTCTGTATAACTGACTTCCCAATACAAAAATAAATAAATCTTAACAAAAATAATAAAGGTGGTTAAATAGGTATGAACAGGCAGCCCGGTTGACAAGCCTGATCCTGTAGCAAAGTGCCCTGGTCTGACATCCAGCTCTGGCTCCTGGCAGCAGCTTCCTGCTCTGCAGCTCAGACGATGGATTCCAACCCCCAAAGCCGGATGTGGATGGAGTGCCTGGTTCTCAGCTTTAGCCCAGCCCAGGCCCGATCACTGCAGGCATTTGGGGAGTGAACAGCAGATGAGAGCTCTTCTGTCACTATTTATTTTTTCTGTTTAAGGATTTAGTTCTTTTTATTGCAAAGTCAGATATACAGAGAGGAGGAGAGACAGAGAAGATTTTCCATCCACGGATTCACTCCCCAAGTGGCCACAACGGCTGGAGCTGAACCAACCCAAAGCCAGGAGCCAAGAGCTTCTTCTGGGTCTCCCATGCGGATACACAATTCCAAGGCTTTGGGCCGTCCTCGACTGCTTTCCCAGGCTACAATCAGGGTAGTGGGGCTGCCGGGATTAAAACTGGTGCCCATATGGGATCCCAGTGCATTCAAAGAGAGGATTTTAGCCACTAGGCTACTACGCCAGGCCCCTGCCACTCTTTCTTATCCCTCTGGCCCTTGAAGACAGAGAGGGAGCATCTGAGATGGGTCCCAGCTAAGGGCCCAGGCTAGAGAAGAAGATGAATGAGATCAGGTTTCAATAGAGAGTTGCCATCTGGACCTGGTACAATGGCCTAGTGGCTAAAACCTCATCTTGTGTGTGCTGAGATCCCATAGGGCACCAGTTCATGTCCCAGCTGCTCCACTTCCCATCCAGCTCCCTGCCTGTGACCTGGGAAAGCAGTACAGGCTGGCCCAAACCCTTGGGACTCTGTACCTGTGAGGGAGACCCAGAAAAAGCTCTTGGCTCCTGGCTCCAGATCGATTCAGCTCCAGTTGTTGCAGCTACTTGGGGAGTGAACCAGCAGATGAAAGATCTTTGTCTCTCCTCTCTGTAAATCTACCTTTCCAATAAAAAATAAATAAATCTGTAGGGAAAAAAAAAAGGAAGTAAAGTAAATAGTCATCTGGGCTGCACTAAAGCTTGGAGCTTACCACTGGGGTTCTCTCACAGTGCCTTCCAGGGTGGGGAAAAAGTCAAGGTGGGGAGGGGTGAGGGCAGCCTAATGCTTTGGCTTTGGGGCTTCCATAGGCCTGGATTTAAGTTCTGGACTTGCCCTTTAGTGTACCTATGGGACTTGGGAGAATCCACTGTACCTCCCAGAGCTTCATCTGCAGCCAGGACAATAGGAGGCCTTCCTCAGGGCTGAGGACTGAGCCACATGATGCACTGCCAAGGCTGGCAGCTGAGGGAGGGTGCTGGACAGGACCTGACTTGCCTGAGGCAGCCCAGCAAAATGGTGTCAGGGCTTAGCACTCTGACGTTTAGATGAAGAGGAATCCAATGGAAAGGCAGCTGGAGCAGGGGCCTGCCTCATTAGTGGTTTGGGCAACCTGAGCCTGCCTATCTTATTAAAAGAAAAGGCCCAGCATGATAGCCTAGTGGCAAAATCCTCACCTTACATGTGCCAGTGTGTTCATGTCCTGGCTGCTCCACTTCCCATCCAACTCCCTGCTTGTGGCCTGGGAAAGCAGTAGAGGACGGCCCAAAGCCTTGGGACCCTGCACCCATGTGGAAGACCCAGAAGCTCCTGGCTCTGGGCTCTGGCTTAGGATCGGCTCAGCTCCAGCCCTTATGGCCACTTAGGGAATGAACCAACCAAAGGAAGATCTTTCTCTGTCTCTCCTTCTCTCTGTAAATCAGCCTTTCCAATAATAAAAACAGAATAAGCAAACAAAAAACTCTCATTCCCACTCTGCAGAGGTCTTGAGACAGAGCGCATCTGATTGATCTGCAGAAACAGCAAGTCTCAGGAAAAGAAAGCAAACTAAGTAGAGGCAGTTCTTGTGATTTGTTTATTCTTCACGAACACTTGTTGTACAGTACAATTCAGTGAATAAATAGAGGCACACGGCTATGATTTCCACCACAAACTACTGCCGAGGGACAAGCAGTGTGAGGATCAGGACTGGGACGAGTGTGTGGGTCACAGGGTAACAATTGGGCAGGAATCCTATCAGCAGAGAGCCGATCCCAGGCCACATGGCAGAAGAGTCACAGTGAACCAAAGGCAGGGAGCCATGTCCCTTAGTCCACCACAGTCCTAGGATGCAGGTGGTGTGGCTGATGCTGACACACCATCAGCGCACGCCATCCCTGCCTGGGGGATGTCAGGTGACCTGCTTCCCTCTGCCCTTTGCCCTGGTGCAAGCAACAAATACAGGTTGGATAAATGACTAATACGTGTGTCTTTCCTGATGATCCCATCAAGGGTTCCTGGCTGACAGCTAAGAAGAGAGAGGCCCCGTGGGGGAGTATCTGCTGCAGGGGAAGGACAACAGCCTGTCCAGCCAAAGCCAAGGTCACCAGCCCTCTCACCACTCTTCGCAGGGGCACATCTTTCCCTTGTAAAGCCAGAGTGAAGAGGTGATTCTCTGTCACTCGGCCGAAGGTGGGAACAGGCCACAGGTGGTGTGCACTGGGTAATCCTAAGGCGTAGGAATAAGGTAACAAGGGAGTCAAGGTGGCTTTTCCTCTTCCTTGTTCACATGAGGAGGAAGAAATGGCAAGACTGCTGGCCAAGGCGGCAGGGCCCACGAGCCAGCCCCTTCACCATTTCCTGTGACTGAGAGAGCACCTGACCCACAGGGAGGACTGCAGTGCTGGGCTGCTTCTCCACGGTTCTGCTGGTGGCTCTGATCTGCCCCGCTAGTTCACAGAGGCTGCACAGCGAGGCCTTTCGCCTTCCAGTTCCTCGCCAGCTGGTGCCCAGGACCCCGTCAGGCAGTGAGGCTCCTGGCCGACTTGGAGGCACCCTGGGCCCGTTGGATGATGGCTGAACACTTCTCACGCCTCAGCAGCTTGTTATTCTCAAATAGGCCTTCATTGCGTGGCACACCATGGGAGCCATCCGGGAAAGTTAGTAGGCCTTGGAGGAGGACCGAGAGTGCACCGTGTTAAGGTCCCAGAGGTCAGCTTGGGGCGTCCAGGCCAAGGATGGGAAACACTCCCAGCTGTCCTTGGGATGGCTAGCCAGGTGAGTTTTGGCGGGGAGGTGATGGGGCCCCATCACTGTGAGCAATGGGTAGGCAGGGAAAGCGCCACACTACAGAGGTAAGTATATCAATCCTGCTACGTCCGCCTCCCACACACCCCCGCCCCGGGCTGCTATATGGCAACTTACCAAAACCGTCGACTCTACCATTTTTAAATTCCCCCTCAAAGGTCATGTTGTCGTGTCGAATGAAGACTCCGACACCGTTAAACTTGCCCTGGGAAAACTCCCCCTCATACCTGTGGAGACACCAAGATGTCAGCCTTTACTGGGCATGTTCATTGTCTAGGTTCCCTGCTGTCAGCAGCTGCCACCCCCCCCACGTGCTCTTTACTAAGTCTTGGGACAGAGCTATGCCTACTGACCCCAGGGCTCTCCCCAGCCCCACCCACCCCATTCCCAGCCAGCAAAGCAGGGTCAAAGAGTACATGTGGTGTGAAATCCTCATGTCAAGCAAGGAACAGAAGTGGGGGAAGGTCACTCACTCAAGTTTCAGATAGATTCACACATGATCAACAGAAGTGCTGTTCACTTCTTACCTGCCCTGTTCTTATATCAGAGCCTCCCTTATTTAAACCTGAGATAGGAATGGTCTGATACCCACCTTGACCCATCTGAGAAGGTCAGCACCCCGAAGCCGTTAAAAAGCCCATTCTCAAAATGACCCAGGTAGGTGCCACCATCTGCAAACATCAGTTGACCGAAGCCATGCCTGCGGCCTGAGCAAAGACATGGACAGGTGTCAGGTGGGAAAGGAGTAGCCTTCGGGCCCCTTCTCACTCCCCCAGCATCCTTTACCTCCCACTTCCTACCCACAAAGCAAAGAAGAGAGGCTATGGCACTCAGAGCAAATGCCTGCTACCCAAACTGGGCACCAGCAAAGCTTAGCTCCCGAGACCGCTCATCTTAGACAGACCCATCATCTATGGAGCAAAATCCCCCAAGTCTAAAAGGTGAGAGGACACCTGAAATTACCCCCAGCTGAGGCAGGAGCAGGGCTGAGAGGTTGAGATGTATGGGCTGTTTGGACCTTTGGGAAATTTAACCATAGATGGGAGCTCTCTGCTTGTTCTCTCTGCCTTTTAATAAATAATAGCATTTATAGGCGCTTTTCTGTGAGCCAGCCAGTCTTTTAGACACTTTGCATTTATCATCTAATTTAATCCTCATGACACCCTTATGAAGTAGACAGACTACTATTTTGTTCCATTTACCAGATTGGAAAATCAAGGCAAGGAGAAGCTAAATAACTTGTTGGAGATCAGAGCTCTGAGCAGAGCAGAAAGAATGTGAGACGCAGCCGGCAGCCTGCCTCAGCAGCTCCCAATGTTGGCCTTCACACAGGGTGTCTCTGAAGTCTCCCTTAGCTCTGTGAGGATGCTGGACAAGTCTGGCGGCCTCCTTGGCAGCACTAGCTGAGCTTCATTCAGTCGATACAGCTGTGCTTCCCGTGGAAGGGCCCAGAAGACAGCACGCTTCCGGGGGAGCAGTTATGCCCTTCACACACAGGTGAGGGTGCTCCTTTGATGGCTAGAGAGTCCAGGAGAGCAGGCTCTCCAACAGGCCACCTTCAAGGGGACAGCAGGTGTTTGGGAGGCAGGAGAAAAGAGTCCAGATGGAAGGAGACAAGTCTTGCCACGTCTGCACCTGTCGAGGCTCATACATGGACCGGCTTGCAGGGCTCTAATGTGAAAAGGATGAGGCGACAGCAGGAACTGCCCTTCATCTGAGCAGGTCAGGAAGTCCAGCTTCTCAGGGCAGTGCCTCGTTTGTGGGCACTGGACCCTCAAGACTTAAAAGCAGCCAGAATGTATTTCCAACTGAGCATCATTAACTTTCCTCCTGCATAGAGCCAGGCTCCAAAAAATTCCACTAATCCTAGGAACGAAGACTTGCAAAGGCAATGAGCTGTGGGCAACAGGAAACTCAAAGTGATGAATGTCATTTGTTCCTAGTGTTTGCCCTGCTTTTCACAGCTTCCCATTTCTTCTTTAAAGTTCCCTGGAACCAAGTTATTGCACTGAACTCTGTACTCTATAATTTATGGGGACTTAAAATAATTCACTGTACTCTGCTGGGTACATTACCATTTATTTTGAAAAAAAAATCCCAAATAATACCACTAAAGGATGAACGGATGTTACAATACCCTTTCAGATTTAGAAATGGAAAGATGTAACTCAGGTATGGGGGTTGGATAAGCAAGAGTGTTTTCTAACTTCTTTCTTTAACCCTGACATAGAGCAAAGAGAAGACACGCTGAATGAAAGTCCTGGGGCTGGAAATGAGGTCTGCAGAGTTGGCTGGCTGTCCTGGTGCCTTTGCCTTTCAGCTAGATAGCGTTTCTACCAGGTACTGCCCACCAGAGGTCCTTCTCACCCTCCTTCCACTCGCCACGGTATTCCTCCCCACTGGAGTAGGTGAAGGAGCCCTTTGTCAGGGTCATGGTGATGGTTACAGAAGAACGAAAACTGTAGGAAACAAGCAAAGGGTAACAGTATCATACAATGCATTGCCATCATGCCCTCTAAGGCTGCCAGGCTGCCATATCCACACTGACTTGAGAGCTTTAAAAATACCCACCTTGCTAACCACTACCATCACTATCACACCTCCGCCCAACCAACATTATCCTCCTCTTGGCTTTAAAGGTTCCAATTTCCTATGACCTGAAAGTGGAGTATGAATCTATAAAGACTAACTCAATACCTACTATGTGCTTAGTCAACAAAATCTTTAATCTGAATTAACCCAGTGGACTCATCTGTCCTGTCGATGCTGAAACAGCAACCCAGAGAGGTTAGAAGGTGGATTAGTGGCCGAGCTAGAACAAGCAGCCACCTCCCCTGACCATGGCTGGCCCCTTTGCTCCCATGCGGGAACCCCCACTGTCAGGTCAAACTGATTCAAGGAGATCTGGGCGAGCTAGGCAGAAGAGTGTAAAGCTGCTAAGATGGGGGAAAGAGGAAAGTCTCTAAGGGGTTTGTGAACAGGGATGGAATATGATGAAAACAGTGTTTATGAAAAATAAATATAGCAACAGAAAGCAGGCAGGATTGGCTTTGTAGCCAACACCTACAAGGGAAAAAGCTTGCAAGGAAGGCATGATAACTGGATAGACCATAAAAATGAGCACTGTATTTCTGCCTTTATTCATATCATTGCAATGTAACATGGCAAACTCTCCCAGTAAGAAGCAGCATTTGTTTATTCCTGCACTCACTCTCACTGGATCTGGGTTGGCTGAGTGAGGTGCTCTAGCCCTTGGGATACTGGCAAAGGTGTTTTCATTCATTCCTTCATCTTTTCCAAATATAAACAATATAAGGTTTTCTCAAGTGATTATGAAAATACAGAGTCCTAGGCCCAAATCATTCTCCACTGAACCAGATTGTGGTTGGAGCCTGGGAATCTACAGTTTTTTTTTTTTTTAACAAGTACACTATGAGAATACTGCAAGTTTGTGGACTCCCAATCCACTAACTAGAAATACTCTTTGGGAAAAGCTCTCTGGACTATCAGCCATCCTTGACAAATCTCCCAAGATTAATAATGGACTCACAACCTGATCCACAGGCATCTGAGAACCTATTTGACAAGTGCCAAGGGGTCAGACCTAAGGCTTCTTCAATTCTAAGACCCAGTGCCAATGATTCTCTTCTCCAAGTCCCAGAAAAGCTGAACCATGCCCAGTATTAACATGGATGACTCCATTATAGAAAACCAAGATGGAATTACAAAGAGTAGGCTCTGCAGCACAAGAAAGACCTGATAAATGATGTTTTAAATGTTCAACTAAGGCCCCAGTATCCTAATAGCTAAAGTCCTCATGTTGCACACACTGGGATCCCATATGGGTGTTGGTTTGTGTCCCGGTGGCCCTGCTTCCCATCCAGCTCCCTGTTTCTGGTTTGGGAAAACAAAAGAGGATGGCCCAAAGTCTTGGGACCCTGCACTTGCACAGGAGACCCGGGAGAAGCTCCTGGGCCCTTGGCTTTGGATTGGCTCAGCTCCAGTCATGTCTTTCCTCCTCTCTGTATATCTGACTTTCCAATAAAAAATAAATAAATCATTTTTTAAAATGTTCAACTAAAACAAGGACATTAAACTTGTCTTCTCCAAATTGTGGTGGGAGATGGCACTGGGCTGTTTGCATTCTAGCCCACCTGGCACAACCCTCTCTGACCAACTGAGCAGCCCCTAGAGAAGCTATATGAAATGTGCAGCAGGAACCAACAGTTATGGACCACTTCTTATGGATCCTATGTGATAAACACATCCTCTAATTTCATTTCCCAATGACTGTATGAGGCAGGCACCATTTCTACTTCACAGTTGAGGAAACTGAGGTACACAGATGACAAACTAATGAAGATCACCCAGCAGGCCTATGTGATCAGAGCCCTGGCAGCTGTACTCTGGGACTCCTCTTGGTCATATGCAAACTTACATGACCCTAGCCTAATGCTCCTCCCAATGTAACACAGCAGTCGGGCCTGAATTCCAATCTTAGTTCACTATACAGCCACGCACAAGTTCCTTAAGTGTTTGTAAATCTCATCCTTAGAGCTACTACTCGAGCATGTATTTTACAGAGTTGGCAGGTAGATTAAATGAAACAGAGCACATGAAGTCACTGGAACACTGCATGCCTGTATCCACTGTTAGCTTCTTCTCCCTTAAAAAGGGACAACTAAATCACCTCTCGGCCTTTTGGCTAAGATCAAGTGTAGTATCTGTTCTTGTCAGTTTAAAAAGGGACAACTAGGGGTGGGCATTTTGACACACAGTGGTTTAGTCACCACTGGGATCACTGGGATGCCCATATTCCACATCGAAGTGCCTGGCTTGAGTCCTGGTTTTGCTTCTGCCTGGTTTTTTGGGGTTTTTTTTGTAAATTGGAAAGTCAGTTCTACGAGAGGAGAAACAGAGAGAAAGACCTTCCATCTGCAATGGCCAGAGCTGAGCTGATATAAAGCCAGGAGCCAGAAACTTCCCTCAGGTCTCCCATGCAGGTGCAGGGTCCCAAGGCTTTGGGCCATCCTCTGCTGCTCTACATCCTCTACAGACCACAAGCTGGAAGAGATGTGGAGCATCCAGGATATGAGCTGGCACCCATATGGGATCCTAGCACAAGCAAGTCGAGGATTTTAGCCATTAGGCTACCGTGCTGGGACCTAGTTCTGCTTCTGATCTAGCTTCCTGGCAATACTCATCCTGGGAGGCAGCAGATGATGGCTCAAGTATTTGGGTCACTGCTACCCATGTGGGAGACTTGGATGGAGTTCTAGGATCTTGGTTTCGGCTGGCTTAGCCTTGTCCTGGCTATGCAGGTGTTCAGTGAGTGAACCAGTGATGGAAGAACTCTATTTGTCTCTCTGACTTTTAAATAAAATGATAATACAAAAATTTTAAAAAGGAAGACTTCTAAGCTCACATTTATGTACTATAATGAAAACTTCTTTAAAATCTTTGCTTAAGTGCTCGCTTCGGCAGCACATATACTAAAATTGGAACGATACAGAGAAGATTAGCATGGCCCCTGTGCAAGGAAGACACGCAAATTCGTGAAGCATTCCATATTTTTACCTTCAGACCAGAGAAGGTCTCCCCTAGAAGCCGCTGAACTTATCTGAACAATAAGATGCTGGACTCTATGCTAGGTATATGCTTGCAATGAAGGAATCCCAGTTGAACTTCAACTGTGATTATGCAGCAAGGTGGAGGAATCCACCATGGGGGTAGGGTTGTGGGAGGGGTGGGGGGAATCCCAGCGCCTATAAAACTGTATCACATAATATAATGTTATTAACAATAAAAAAATAAATTAAAAAAAACTTTGCTTAAGATAAAAATGTTACCAATGTAATTCAGGTAACATTTTGAAATAGAAAAACAGAAAATTTGACTAGTGAGGTATACATCATGCAGAGAAAAATCAACTTAAAGCTGTCACCCCTTTGTTCTTTAGCCACACCTTAAGGCATTAGCGGCACACTGGTTTTACAATCAGATACCCCCAAAGTCCAGAGATGATCTGCTGTGAAAATCATGTGGTCTGGGCAGCACCAGCGGGACTCAGTCGCATCCTCTAGGCATCTCTCAGACATGAGGACTGATGAATTCTGGGAATTCCTGTTTTCTTACCCAAATACAGAGAAAGTTGTATTTCTAGCCTGTTTAATGGAGGCCTTTTGAGAGATGTTTAAGGGGTCACACCTCTGGGAGTTTCCTGTCTCTTCAGATAGCAGTCAGGACTGCAGGCTGACAGCCCCTCTGAACCTCGGGGGGCTGCTTCCTCAGAGGAGTGAGCACCTACAGTGTTCCCTGTGGTCAGCATCCAATTTCAGGCTCGCAAGGCTCTTATCGCCAGCCCAGCATCAGTGTGTGGCGAGGTTGAGGTCAACATGACTCCAGTGCAAATACAACATTCATGAGGGGAAGAGTGGCAGTTTTCCACCAGAACTGAAGTGGAAAACTCTTTCTGATCCAGACAGGCATTTTGATAGTTACAGACCTTTTTTTTTTAACTCTGCCTAGGTCTAATTAAGTCACAGCTCCAAAAATTGGCTTATAGTGCAAATCACAGCTGTTTTCTCTCTTTAAAATGCATTCATCAGAATCTGACAGTCTGCAAGAACTCTAGTCCTTGGCCTATGATATAATGCCTCTCAACTGCATGAGCAGGAGATGGAATATGGGCCTCGTGTGATAGCCTAGCGGCTAAAGTCCTCACCTTGCACACACCAGGATTCCATATGGGTGTCAGTTCGTGTCCCGGCAGCCCCGCTTCCTGTCCAGTTCCCTGCCTGGGAAAGAGGTCATGACGGCCCAAAGCCTTGGGACCCTGCACCGGCATGGGGGATCTGCACCGGCATGGGGCACCTGGAGGAACCTCCAGGCTTCTGGCTTTAGATCAGTTCAGCCCTGGCCATTGCAGCCACTGGGGAATGAATCAGTGAATGGAAGATCTGTTTTTCCTCTTCTTTGTATATCTGACTTTCCAATTAAAATAAACAAACAAAAAAGCAGTTTGGAATACCAGAGACGCAAACCAGGCTACTCTGATGTATGACGTAGGTCTCCCAGGAGGTGGTTTAATCTCTGACATGATGATTAAACCATTTACTCCTTTTTCTTCTAGGGGAATGACAGCATATTTGCTTCAGCAGTTGCTTGTCAAAATGATGTCTATTCCCCAGACTACAACCAAAAGTACTAATTAAGGGAAACCATATGTACAGTCCATGGGTCTGAGGCCATGGCTGAGAACATTTGGCTAGAATCTGCTACATGTGTCCAAATAAGTGATACTGTCACTGCTTGGAACAATGTCAAGATCTTAATTTATGCCTGTTGTAATTAGCCATGCTAATTAAAAGTCAGCTGCACTGCTGCTGTGCAAAAAAGGAATCTCACTAGTAACCATGGTCATTGAGACAAATCTAGTTAAAGACGGCATTTCCGGTACAGATGAAGACGGAGAGGCTCAATGGTCAATGAAGGATGCAAGTCAATATTTGTATCAGTTATTCAGGTAATTTAAAGAGAACAGATGGCCTGGGGGTAGGCTTTCCATATACCCGTGGAATCTACTCATAAGCAGATGATTCTCATTGGCTTTTACCCTTTCTGCACTCCTGACAGCTGGTTACAAACGATCAGTCCAAACATTTACCTAAAAGAAAATTACCATTTAAAAATATTTTTATGACCTAAAATGTCTTACAACTTCTCAAGTGCTCATACAGCGAGGGCTCAGACAGGCCCACGTTAGGAGCCAGGAACTCCATCTGGGTCTCCCACACGGGTGGTAGGAATCATGTACCTGGGAGCCAGCATCTGCCGCCTTTCAGGTGCATTAGCAAGAAGCTGGATGGGAGCAGCGGAGCCTGGATGCCAAGCAGCACTCAGATATGCCACGTGGGTGTCCCAAGCAGTGACACCAGCCCCCAAATTACTAGTTTTCCCTATAAACCAATACCATTAGTCTGAATCACAGATCATATTCCTGCTACCTTTATTTTATTTTGCCCCAGATATTTCCAAACGGAATTTGGAGACAGTAAGTGAAATTTGTCATTCCATGTCGGAAAGATTTCTAATAAATCAAACTTACTACAGATATCCATGCATTCTTAGTAACCTGTGACACTTGTGAATGGATGGCTCCCCTTTTTTAAGGGCAGCTATGGCTCAGAAACACCTCATCAGAGGGCAAATACCAATCACCAATTGTCAGTGCTTTAAGGTTGACTTGTAACCAAATGAGACTACAGTGGGTCTCCAGGAATTTTGATTCTCCATGCCCTAAAAAAGTCACAGCAGCAAGGAGGTGAACAAAATCTAACTTCAAGAGGGTCTTCATGATACCAGGTCTAACGCAGCAACTTCTCAGATCGCAGAACATGAAGTTTGGGCAAGGCTGCCAGCATGTGACTGGAGAGCTAGGGATATGGGCTTTGTGGCACAAAAGATTCAGTCACGGTGCGGGACACCTGCACCCCGCATCTGAGTGCCTGGGGTCAAGTCTCACTTGTGCTTCTGATCCAGCTTCCTGGTAAGCACTAGATGATGTCCCAAGCACTTGGGTATCTGCCACCCACAGGAGAAACCTCTTGGCTTCCACCTGGCCCAGTCCTGGCTGTGGTAGAAATTCAAACAAAAATTCATTCTTAAGTCAGGAGCCTGGAATGTGATGGAGGCTTCTAATGGCAGGGTCCCAGTCCAAGTATTCCAGCCATCCTCCCTGTTCTCCCAGGAGCTGGATCTGAAGTGGAGCACCCAGGACTTGAACTGGAGTCCACATAGGTTGCTTGTGGAATGTGTAGCCCCCTGTGACACAAGGTCAGTTCCTCTTTTAAGGTATTTTTTTAAATGAATTTGAAATAACGATTTTTATTCTAACCTTCCCTCCTTCCACTTGAAAAGGCAAACAACCATACATAAAGGCCTTATTTAGGAAGACTGTGAGATGGTTGTATAGAAGAAAATGGGGAGAAAAGACAGACAGCAGAAAGGATGTTTGAAAAGATGATGGTGACCACGATGACTTGGGGCCATAAGCTCTGAGGGTCACTGCTGTCAGAATGGTATTCCAAGGGAAATGAGAATGACTAGGCCGGGGTCTAACAGGGGAGCGTGATTTCTATCGGTGCTAGAGTAACGCAGGGACAACACCCACCAACTTCCAAGCGTGGACCTGTGGGCCGTGTCTCCACCATTGTGTGACAGGCACGTGGCTGGTTCCCACTGAAGAACCCCCGGCTGCCCGCACACTCTAGCCTTCCAGCCCCACCGCGTCCCTCCACCAGAACGTGACAAGACGCGGGCCCGGCCACACACAGGGAAACCCAGGCTACCAGCGCATTCCAGCCCAGCCGCTTCCCTCCATGCGTGGCTGCTCTCCCACCCGCAGGGTCTTGGCACACCCAGGTCTGCCAGCCATACCCTCCCAACGCTGCTCCTCAACCCGAGGGACTTGGCTCTCCCAGGCCTCGACCCCGAATCCGAGACCCACCCGCCTCCGCCCCCGCCGCTGCTGCCCTCAGGGGAGCGCTCCAAGGATGGAATCGCCGTCCTCAATCGCGGTCCCGTCTCCGACTCAATCACTTAAAGTTACCCCATGGGCCCGGCATCCTCCCACCTGCCAACCTGAGCTCGGTCTTTCAGGACAATCACGCCCAGAGACGCGGCTCCATCCACCCGGACCGCGGCGCTCAGTCAGTTTCACCAGTACCTGCCCCACTTGACGCTGACATTCCGGGCAGCCCCACCGAGCACAATCCCCGCGGCCCATTGGCTGTTGCCTGGACAACCAGGAGCAACGCCACTCCCCATTGGCTCAGTCCGCCCTTGCGCCATCTTTGTGCGGGTCTGAGTGCTTTGAAGAGCCCAGCTGAATCTGAGAGAGGGGTGGAGTCGAGCGGTGATCCCGCCTCGGCCACGCAGGTCCAGCGGAGTATTCGGTCTCGTCCAACCCAGAGATAACCTGGCTGAGGTGTTGACCTTAAGCGTCCCCAAAACCCACACCGAAAGCCTCCGAGAGCGCTAGCTCTCATGCCTGCGGCCGTAAATGGCCCCGAGGTGGAGTTGGAGGACAACACTAAATCTGGCTTTAGACGCGCAGCTTTGGTCATTTGTGAAGCGCAGGGCAGGACAGCTGCTTCACTGCGGTGATCTGTGTTGTCCTTGTCATTAGTCGACCCTTTGTGTTGAAGTACCGCTCCAATATTGGAGTCCATCTTCCCACAAGCTTTCTCCCGGCAAAACCCATCTGTTTATTAACTCAACAGCACAAATGTTGATTTTTTAAATTATTTTGATCAGAAATGCAGATTCACAGAGAAGAGAGAAAGATGACACTCTTTTCAAAAGGGCAAATTAAGCTTGAGGGAGTAGATAATGGAAGTTCTGAAGGGTTTCCATAGAGAAAAAGCCACAGAATTCTACAGAGAACCATAAATCTGGGAACATCTCTTGGCTATGATTTGTAGCTCTAGATGAAAGATTTCAGAGACCATGTCTATGGCCATGCCTGATGGGGCCGAAGTGGAAGACATCATCGAATTATCAAGTCCAGGTAGGAGAAGACAAGCATTCCTTGTAACTGAAAGGAGTAACCGAAAACCCTGGTTAGTTGTTTGGCTAGAATAATTCATTTACTTAGTCAGAAAACTTTAAGACATTCCCATTCATACAGCTAAACAATAGCCTTTTAAACTCAATACTTCTAGTTAGCTGCAGCAGCAATTTGACCCAAGGAAGTAGGATTATGAAACATTCTTGACTGTGGTGACCTTTGCTGAAAACTATCTCAGGTCTGGTTACTTTCAGCATTACCAACATTAACAATAGTCTCAACATCACTAAAAAGCTCCTATTTCTGGAGTGTTCTTTATGTATCAAAAACACTATGCTAAGTGCATACTTGTATTGATGCCTATTTTTAAAGATTTATTTATTTATATTGGAAAGTGAGATAAACAGAGAGAAGACATAAAGAGGAAAAATTTCTTTTCACTGATTCACTCCCCTAAGAGGCCACAAAAGCCAGACATGCACCAACCTGAAGCCCAGAGCCTCAAGCCCGCAGCCTCATCTGGGTCTCCTATGCAGGTGCAGGTGCAGGATCCCAAGGCAACTCAAGCTCAGAGCCTCACCTGGGTCTCCTACACAGGTGCAGGTGCAGGATCCCAAGGCTTTGGGCCTTCCTCAGCTGCTTTCCCACCAGGCCACAAGCAGGGAGCTGGATGGGAAAGCGGGACTGCCAGGATCAGAACCAGCGCCCATATGGGATCCTGGTGTGTACAAGGCAAGGACTTTAGCTGCTAGGATACCACTGGGCCCTTGATGCCTATTTAATCAAGTGGGGCCTAGATGATTATTTCCATTTTATCTATGAGGAAACTGGGGTTTAAAGAAGTTAAGTAATTTGGAATTCTAATTCAGATATCCTTGCTACTGACCTGTCATTCCATACCTTAGAAAGTTGTGTGGGCATACATTGTCACCTGAACGGTAGCCCATGAGGTATTTTGCACCCTACGGGCTGGGGCTGTATCTCTTCTGTTATCTGCGTCCCATATCAGATGTGCCTGGATGGAGTCTTGGCTACTCTGCTAGATTCAGGCACAGCAGGAGGCAGCAGGTGAGGCACAGATACCTGAGTCTTGGTGGGATTGAATTCTAGAGCTCCTGGCTTCAGCTGGCCAGGCCCTGGCTTTGTAGGTACCGAGAGCTCAAACCTGCAGATGGAAGAACTGCTGCCTTGCAAATAAAATAATCTAAAAAAACAAAAACAAAAACAAAAACTACTTATCCCCTGTGATTAGAAACTGAGGTTTTACAGTACTGAATGAAACAGTCGTGTAATTCTAAAATCTAATAGGACAGCATCTTTCTTCAACTCACAAGTATGGCGCATTTTGGTCAAGCACTATGTAAGATACCTGAAGGACAGGCTTTATAATTTCTTCCCAAAGATGTATTTATTTGAAAGGCGGAGTTAGAGAGGCGAGGGAACAAGATCTGCTAGGTCATTCCCTAAATGGTCTCCCCTGCGGTGTGGGAGCACTGAGCCATCCTCCCCTGCGTTTCCGGGATGGGGGCTCTGAAGTGGCGCAGTTGGTATTCCAATCCCATATGGCGTGGCGGCGCAACGGGCGCTGGGCTTTTTAAAAACTTTTGACTGAGGTAGCACCGGAGATTTTAGCTGTCTCTCCAGCACTTTCAACACAGCAGCTGGCGAGTAAATGACACAAAGTCCTCCAGCCAGTCCCTAGCAGACATTCCAAGAACGAAGGACTGTGGGGAAAAGCGACTGTTTGGAAAGCGCCCCGAGCTCCGTCAGCCAATGGGAAGCTCAGGGCGGGGCTTCGACGGTCGCGGCCGAGGGCGGGGCTGACCCCGGTTTGGGCCCTGGAGCCTGCGCAGTCTTCCCCGAAGGTGACGGAGAGAAAAATGCGGAGGCCGCGATTGCGTAGGAGTAAGTTCTGATTGGCTACTGTTGGCGCGCGAGGGGCCGTGCCTACTCGTCGCCAAGTAAACAGGGCAGGGAGGGGGCGGGGCCAGAGAGACGCCGCGACCTGGTTGGCTGAGAGGGAGGTGGGGGGCGTCACGGATTGGTCCCGGCTGCGAGCTCAGCTGGTGCCGAGCGCTCCGGGTCCCGGAGCCGGCGGCCTGAGGGATGGACGAGACGAGCCCACTGGTGTCCCCCGAGCGGGCCCAACCCCCGGAGTACACATTCCCGTCGGGCTCGGGCGCTCACTTTCCGCAGGTGCCAGGGGGCGCGGTCCGAGTAGCATCGGCGGCCGGCTCGGGCCCCTCTCCGCCGGGCTCGCCAGGCCACGACCGGGAGCGGCAGCCCCTGCTGGATCGGGCCCGGGGCGCGGCGGCCCAAGGCCAGTCCCAGACCGTGGCGGTGCAGGCCCAAGCCCTGGCGGCGCAGGCCGCGGCCGCCGCGAATGCCGCGCAGGTCCACCGTGAGCGGAACGAGTTCCCGGACGACCCCGAGTTCGAGACTGTGGTGCGGCAGGCCGAGTTGGCCATCGAGCGCGGCATCTTCCCCGAGCGCATCTACCAGGGCTCAAGCGGGAGCTACTTTGTCAAGGACCCTCATGGGGTGAGAGTGGGGCTGCGGACAGGGGAGAGGGGCTGGGTTTTTTTTTAATAGGCTTCGCATCGCGGGCAGGAATGGGGGAGAACCATGGGGGAGACGCTGCCATAAAGGGAAGATATGCCTGGCCAGATTGCGGGATGCCCCTAGGATTGGCTTTGGGGAAACTCTGCATAGGAGTGAAGAAATAAAACCAGAATCTGTGTGGTGGGGGAGCATCGAGCGGAAAAGGAAAAGAGGAAATTGAACAGATACTGGCTGGAGGCCCAGCTGTATGGTGAGGCAATGTGCTGATGGACAGAGTCACGGATGGGTGGGGGAGCATTGTGCTTTCTGGTAAGGGACTTGCAGTCCATTAAGCTTCTGGGGCGGCAGGTTAGGTTTTGGTGCCTGTTCTCCCTTCTTGGACGGCGTGTTACTGTTCTGGAGGTCGGTGACCCGTCAGGTCCAGCCTTATGTTATGGTGATCTCTTGTGCCACCGTCCTGGGTCGCCTCATAACGGACATTGCCGATAGAGTGGGTGGACTCCACGGTTACATCTCCCCCTGGTTACTGCTCGCTTCTGGGAATTGATTCAAACACCGAGTTTTGGAAACATGAGACTGCGCACTACCTTTTACTTTCATTTCTTTCCCAGGGCTGTCATCAGTCTGATCTTCAGCTAAGGACAAAGCATTTACTGACCTTTATTTATGCCACCTGCATGTGTCTAAAGGGGGATGGCAGGGGATGGGATATGAAATGGCCTTTATGCTTTTTTTGAGAACTGAAGAAGGGTTTAAGGCGATTGATCAGGCCAGAGGCATCGCACAGCAGGTTACGAAATATCAAGCCTTGCCTAAGTTTTCAGATGCCAAAATGGCTTTTTGGAAAACACTATTGTCATAATTAAAATGGTGCGTGTCAGAGTTACCTTCTGTTTTCCCTGCATCTTCTGCATGAACCTGTTAGTTGGGGCATGCACTGTTTTTTGTTTGTTTGAAGATTTGCTTCATTGAAAGACAGAGTGAGAGAGAAAGCACAAACTTCCATCTACAGTTCACTCCCCAAATGGCAGCAGCCAGGCTGAAGCCGGAAGCTCACAACTACATCTGGGTCTCCCACAGATTCAGGGCCTCAAGCAATTGGGCCATCTTGAGCTACTTTCCCAGGCACATGATCAGGGAGCTGGAGCAGAAGTGGGAGTCATCAGGGGTCAAGCAGGCATCTGTAGGAGACGCCAGCCCCTCTGTGCTGCTTTCCTGGGAGTCCTGAGAGGCCAGGGTGGGCTATGCCTTGCTGCTTGGGGTGAGAGTCATTGAATCACCCGATAGTCACCCGGAGTGATCCTGATGTGACCAAGGATCAGAGGGCAGTTCTGCCACCAAAGCTTTGAGATTAGTATATCTTCCCAGGACCCTTAAATAAGGCCACTTGAGAGTCAAACAGAAGCCATCATTCTAAAAGCATAGGAAAATGAGTTTCCTGAGGGCCAAATGCCAGGAGGATGCTTTTAATCTTTTTCGTTTGAGAGCAGCGTGAGAGCGGAGACCTGAGTTGTTTTTTTGCTTTCTGTTTGAAGGTTTTTCTTTTTAGCTTCTTTAGCTAAGATTATATTTGAGAAGTATAGGAGAAGGCTTCTCGCTTCCTGACCTGTTGCAGCTCCACTGGAAGTAGGTCAGGACAGCCAAGGTGAGCTGGTGCCCTGATGGGTGGGGGTGGTATGCTCCCCCTCGATTCTGCCTGGCAGGTGAAGTGCCACCATGTCAGATCACAGGCCATGAGTGATAGGCCGTGGGATGACTCTTGGGGTCTGCAGGATTCCAGGCTCTGAATTTCCTGGGCACTTTCCTTTGTTGGAGAGATTGTCTGACCACTGGGCTTCCACAGAAGAAAGCTTGGTTTAGAACAGAGGACCACTCCCCATGGACTTGCCGTAGGTGGTGTTATCATCTTTGGACCTCTTCCAAAGATATTTATGTATTTGACCAAATATTTTGTTAATACTTTCTGTGTGCCAGGAACGGTTTTAAATGTATTACAGGTAATAACTTCTAGTAACAACTTTTGGAGGTAGTTTCTATTGTTCTACCAAGGACAACACAGAGACACAGAGTGTAACTGATTTCCCAGTTAGTGAAGGGGAGAGGCACAGGACGGGATCCAGGTGGACTGCCCAAGAGCGGACACTCAGCTCCGTGCCCTGCTGCCTTGGTTAGTCATCTCATTTCTCCTTTCAGTGAACTTCAGTACAATACAGGTTAGTATTGAAGCCAAGTACAACTATGTGTACAGATGCCTTGACGTGATAGTGAAGAAAGCCTCCTTTGCAAGGAAGCTAAATGAACCTGCAGGCCACAAATGACGGCCCTGGCCTTTCTCTTCACTGGGACACAGTCTCTCTCCAGCCAGCGTCCCTCTCCGTGCTCCAAGAGGCTGCTCAGGCTTTGCACAGCTTGTCTGCTTTCCAGTTGGTGGGAACGAGGATGGGGGAGGGAAAACAAGTCCCTACCAAACTTTAAGGCATTTCCCAAAAGTTACCCTAGGCTCTTCCTCTTATGGGCCAGGGCCATTGTTCACTTCCCTGCAGATGTAGTTGAGAATTTTAGCCCTTATTTTACTGAGGGGAAAATCAGGGATCTTCTGTCCAGGGAAGAAGAGGAGCAGAGACCAGGGAGCCAGCAGTTTCTGGAACAGCTGCTTTTAAGGCTGTTCTAAAAGGTTCTTGAAGAGAGCAGCCCTGATTCCACTTCCCAGTTCAGGATGGTTTTTGCCATGGTATGAGCTAAGGGCCTGGAGTAGTAAAATGGAAAATGCTAGATGAGAAGCTGTGGTGGTGCGTGCTCACGTTTCCCTCTTCACTTACATCCCTGCGCCGCAGGTCTCACGCTCACTCAACTGCAAGAGAATTCTTTGCGCAAAGCCGCCCGTAACACTGGATGCTCATATAGCCAGGAATTGCTAAACAGCATGTGACTAACTAGTTTAAGAGGATTAATTGAGGTGTCATGTGAAAGCTCAAGACATAGTTCCTGGTGGTTAGTGGGAACCCAGTCAGGAGTCTTGCTTTCTTTCCTTTTTTTTTTTTTAAATATATATTTATTTTTATTGGAAAGGCAGATTTACAGAGAGAAGGAGAGACAGAAAGAAAGATCCTCCATTCTCTGGTTTGCTCCCAAAGCGGTTACAGTGGTTGAAACTGAGCCAATCCAAAGCCAGGAACCCGGAGCTTCTTCAGGTCTCCCATACGGTGCAGGTCCTAAGGCTTTGGGCCATCCTCAACTGCTTTCCGAGGCCTTAAGCAGGGAGCTGAATGGGAGCTGGAGCAACTGCAATACAAACTGGTGTCCATAATGGAATGCTGGCGCTTGTAAGCAGAGGATTAGCCAATTAAGCCATTGCACTAGTCTCCTTGCCCCTCATGCATAGTTTTAATAAGGCAAAAAAGAAAAAAAGAAAAGTAATTTTGAAAAGGTGGTTACAGACCAGTGAGAATGTTAATTTATGGGGTCTGACTTGGTGGCGTAGTGGCTAAAGTCCTCACCTTGCATATGCTGGGATCCCGTATGGACACCAGTTCTGATCCTGCTTTGAGACCCTGCACCCACGTGGGAGACCTGGAGGAAGTTTCTGGCTCCTGGCTTCAGATTGGTGCAGCACCTGTCATTGTGGTCACTTGGGGAGTGAATCATCAGACGGAAGATCTTCCCCTATCTCTTCTCCTCTCTGTATATTTGACTTTGTAATAAAAATAAATAAATCTTTAAAAAAACACACACACACACATACACACCCAATTCCCAGAGGACTGGTGTTGTGGCCTATGAGTAAACCCATCATCTGTGGTAGCTGTGTCCCACACAGGTGCCAGTTTGAATCCTGGCTACTCTTACTTCCAATCCAGCTCCCAGCTAATGGACCTGGGAAACTAGCAGGGAATGGGTCAAGTGTTGGGGTGCCTCATGCACCTGAGACACCCAAAAGAAGCTCCTGGCTTTGATCTGGCTCAGCTCAAGCTGTTTTGGCCATTTGGGAAGTGAACCAGCATGGAAGATTTTTCTTTCTGTGCATTTTTTTTCTTTGTACCTTTCACATAAATAATCTTGAGAAAGAGAGAATAACCCAGCAGAAGGGAATTCTGTCTCTTTCTTAAATAAATACCCAGGCAAATTTAAAAATTTGTGGAAAACACGTATTATGAAACAACTGTGTTGATATTCGAGAAGTTTGGGCACCAAAATAAATAAACATGTTGTAATTCCACGTTTTCCATGAGCTTACTGAAATGCCCTCAGACTTTCTCCACCAACAGTTTTTCATGTTTCTCCCTTTTCAAATATAAAATTGTTACATTATTAAATGTGCTGCTTCCACCTGCCTGAGCCGACCAAGCAATTCTGGTGTCTGTCTACTTGGTTGAGAATCACACTTCATAACCGTCATCAAATGTTCTCAAACAGAGTAAGATTTTTTTTTTTAAACAGCATAGGGTAGAGACAGGTAGGCAGGCAGGTAGACAGGTAGAGAGCATAACTGAGTTCCCATACATCCCCCAAAGGCCTGTGGCCCAGAAGCCAGGAGGTGGAGATGCCAGGTCTTCCCTGTGAGTGGCAGGAACTGAATTGCTTGAAGGATCACTGCTGCAACCTAGTTTTGCGTTAGCTGAAAGTTGGAACCAGGACCAGAGCTGGGACCAAACCCAGCTACTCTGATATGGGTCGTGAGTGTCGTAACGGGCAGCTTAGCCTCAAGGCCAAATTGTCTGCCCTGAAAGTTCTTTATCTGAAATATAAAGAGGCAGTCAAGTTTACATATCATATACTGATGTAGATCATGATGGATTTTTTTTTCAATTTATTTGAAAGAGTTACAGAGAAATAGGGAGAGACAGAGCAAGAGGTCTTCCATGTGCTGGTTTACTCACCATGTGGCTACAACAACCAGGATGAGCCAGGCCAAAGCTGGAGCCAGGGGCTTCTTTCAGGTCTTCTCCTTGGGTGCAGAATCTACAGGGAACTGGATCAAAAATACAGCAGCTGAAAATTGAATGGGTGCCCATGTGGGATGTTGGCACCACAGTTGGAGGCTTAGTGTGCTGCACTGTGGTACTGACCCCAATAAATAGTTTAAGTGTTTCCGTTTGAAAGAATCTTAAGACTCTAAAGAGAACTATGCACTTAACATGCATCACTTTCATCAAAAATTATTAAAGGTGAGTTCTGGCTATTTTAATATTATATTGATGCACTTGAAATATCTCAAGTTTGGAGTCTAGAGGAAGGGGACTCTGGTGGCCTGGCCTAATATTTTCCTTGTCACCACAGGATAGGTGCACCGGACCCCCGAGGTTCCAAGTTTTGGTAACTGGCTGTGGACTGTGAAACCAGCCAATAAGTGTCTTCCATTTCCTTTTGTGGTTCTTTTTTTTTTTTTTTTTTTTTTTTGTCCTTGCCTTATCGACTGTTGCTGCTTAAGCCATCTTTACCTCACCTCCTCCATTTATAGGGTGAATAGTGAATGCGTGTTAAGGAAGCATGTTTTTAAAATACAGCACCAAACTGCACGATGCTGTAAGACACTGAGAGTGTTACAGAAGGAGGATGACAAGTCGGATGAGTCAGTAGTCATTTTTTCTCAGCTGGATATGGGTGGGTGTCTTTCTAATTTGAGTGGCTTTAGAGTTTGTTCTCTATGAATGAGGAGAATGTTCTTGATTATTCAGGAAGGTAACTGATCATATGAAACAAACACCAGATTTGGAATTTAGGCCAGAGGCTGTTTTTGGTCTCTCTCTCTAGGAAAACCCACTTGCGCAGTGCTTGTACATTTTCTTACACAAACTGGATGCTGAGCACATGTTGACAGAATTACACTGAACTGAAGCACAATTAGTGTAGTTAGTGACGTTGGTCCTAGGAGGCACTTGTCTCCCTTTCTGTTTGAATGACCTTCTGTTCATCCGTCCTTCCCCCCTACCATTTTTTTTATTTATCTGGTTCAAACAGTAGCTTTTTTTTTTTCTTCCTCACAAAGCTCCTTACTATGGAGATCACTATAATTACTGATGCTTTTAAGAGTCAGTGAAATGCTTTCCAGGTCTCATGATGAAGGAAAATTGAGAAGTTTGAGAGGTCAGTTTATAAATGGCATTTGGCTGCAGGCTTGGCCTTCCAAGTTCTGCTTTCTTTAAGTGAAGTAGTTAAGCCTCAACGCTGGAGTTTTCTGAATGGGCCCTGCTAGTAGGAACGTCTTGGTCTTTCACTGAGAACTGGCTTTCTGAACTCCGCATTGTGTTTCCATTGGCCCGACTGCTGTGTTATGGGATATGGTTCAAGCTGTGCTATGGTTAGAGTGGAATTATCCCTTATTCTCTAAGTCATGAGTTTGCAGATGCCACTGCTTTGTTGCTAAGAGGCTGTGGTTGCAAAGGAGTAGAGACAGTCAGCTAACTGAGGCTTCTTGCTGAAGCATCATTCTGGGGCCAGCATTGTGGTGTAATCAGGGAAGCCAGCACCTGAGGTACTGGCATCTTGTCTGGGCACTGGCTCAAGCAGCACCTGCTGCACTTCCTATTCAATTCCCTGCTAATGTGCCTGGAAAGCAGCGGAGGATGGCCCAAATATGTGGTTCCCTGAACCCACATGAGAGACCCAGAAGAAGCTCCGGCTCTTCGCTTTGGTCTGGCCTAGCCCTGGTTGGGGGCATTTGAGGAGTGAAGCTGCAGATGGAAAATTTCTCTCAGTCTTGACACCTCTCTAACTGCTGTTCAAATAAATAAAACTTTTTAAAGTATTCATTCTGAAGATTTGGGATATGAATGTGTGCATATCATCCCTGTAGCTAAGCAAATTTGTATGTCTTTAACAATAAGTTAAGTTGGTTCTTTCTAAAAAGAGGAGAGTTCTGTATTTCTCAGACTTTTTAAAGGGCCTTGCCTCCAGATAAACCAATTATTGTTAGAGACGAAGGCCTAGACAGTTCCCAATAGGAGTGTGTACTTAATGGCAGATGGGTGCATGTTGGCTGTGGTGACCTGCCACTCAGGAAGTGACACCCACAGGAAGATGTCTTATGACCCAAATTGGCTTGAGCTGGCAGTGGAGGGTGGGAGGAGAAAAATCATATGATGCCAAGTGAATCACTTGGAGAAGCTATTTGCTTCTCTGCCTTTGAATTACCAGTCTGGTGTTGGAGAGAATGAGATAAATGCCAACCTCAGAGGGCACACTGGTCTGTGGAAGGAAATCCGGGAGGGAGGGCCTTGGTTTCTATTCATCTATTCATCCGATGTTTCTAAGGACGTTGGAGGACTCGGCTGTTGTCTGCTGAAGAGATGAATTTAATCCCCGGAGCAGCTCTTGTCCTGGTCTTTTGCCTGGTGGAATGACTAGCAGAAGCTGTCCTAACCAAGAAGCAGATTTCTTTTTTTCTTCTGCTGTGATTTTTCTCTCTGGTTGCCATCTTTGCTTATCATTCTTAAACGTTGTTTTAAGTTTGGTTTTTTTTCTTTTGTTTTTGACACTCGGGGTGAAATAAGGCTGACGGAAGAAATTAACCACTGATGAAGGAATTTCCTTAACCTCATTTCATAATGCCCTCCTTACTTACTTCCAGAGTCTTTACATTCTTGATGTGGAACAATTGTGTGTGTTATGTCCCTTGGAAGTTAGAATCTATTGATGTTAAATTTCTAAAGTGCCATGTAAAGAAATCCCATGCAGTTTAAATGAGTGCAGGGGTACATGTGAAAAAAGGTAACATACAATTCATGACAAATTAATTCTTTACTTTTTGGGGGACCAGATGACTGTTCTTCCATATGTATGTTTGTACATTGCATGTGTGTGCTTCCTGGGTGGGCAAGAAGCAGCTCAGTATTGACTAAGGTTGTTGCCAGTGATTCCATATCTGCCACTGATTAGCCTTAGTGTCCTCCAAGAAATTTAGAAATATACTTCCCTTGGCCCAGAGCAATGGCTCAATTGGTTAAATCTTTTTCTTCTTCTTCTTTTTTTTTTAAGATTTATTTATTTTTATTGCAAAGTCAGATATACAGAGAGGAGGAGAGACAGAGAGGAAGATCTTCCATCTAATGATTCACTCCCCAAGCGGCCGCAATGGCTGGAGATGAGCCAATCCGAAGCCAGGAGCCAGGAACTTCTTCCAGGTCTCCCACTTGGGTGCAGGGAACTGGATGGGAAGTGGAGCTGCTGGGATTAGAACCAGCACCCATATGGGGTCCTGGGTGTGCAAGGCGAGGACTTTAACCACTGCACTATCATGCCAGGCCCAATTGGTTAAATCCTAACCTTGCAAGTGCAGGTATCCCATATGGGTTCTGTCTTGCTTGCTTCATCCAGCTGGCTGCTTGTGGCCTGGGAAAGCAGTCAAGGATGGCCAAAGCCTTGGAATCCTGCACCCACATGGGAAACCCAGAAGAAACTCCTGGCTCCTGGCTTCGGATCAACTCAGCTCCAGCCATTGCAGCCAGTTGGGGAGTGAATCAGCAGATGTAAGATCTTTCTGTTTATCCTTTCCTCTGTTAATCTGCCTTTCCAATAAAAATAAGGTTTTTTTTTTTTATTGCAAATTCAGATATATACAAAGGAGAAGAGACAGGAAGAGAGAAAGAGAGCTCTTCCAGCGCTCCCTCGTGGGTGCAGGGTCCCAAGGCTTTGGGCTGTCCTTGACTGCTTTCCCAGGCCACAAGCAGGGAGCTGGATGGGAAGCAGGGCTGCCTGGACTAGAACCAGTGCCCCTATGGGATCCCGGCATATTCAAGGCAAGGACTTCAGCTACTAGGCCACTGCCCCAGGCCCAAAATAATTAAATCTTTAAAAGCAAACAAACAATCTGGGAAACCTACCTCTGATTGGAAGTCAGGATTGCCTGTCCTTCTGGACACTTGCTCAGTTGATCTGAGGGTTATTTAATCCGCTTGCCTTTAAGGTCCCCTGTTTCTCTTGTCTTTGTAGAAGATCATTGCTGTTTTCAAACCCAAGAACGAAGAGCCGTACGGGCAACTTAATCCCAAGTGGACCAAGTGGCTGCAGAAGTTGTGCTGTCCCTGCTGCTTTGGCCGTGACTGCCTTGTCCTCAACCAGGGCTATCTCTCAGAGGCGGGAGCCAGCCTGGTGGACCAAAAGCTGGAGCTCAACATTGTACCCCGTACCAAGGTCAGTGACCCTTCTCCATGGACTGTGGGGTTCATCGGTTGACTTGGGACTCATGCCTTGTACATGTTAGGCCTTGGGTTCAGTGGGGGTTGGTCGTTCCTGGAGCCTGGGTTTCTCAGCCTAGCTTTGGAGGGTAACAGAGATCTCACGATTTGATCATCTGATGAAAGCTCCCCTGAAAGGATGCACACAAATACTTTTTCATGCAACTTCAGGAAGTTTACATCTGATTACATTTTTGTGGGTTTCTTCTCCTTGTGGGTCCCACACAAACCCAAGCTGATTAAGCAGTCAACTGTTTTTGCGCTTCACTCTTTTGCATCACTTCACTATCTGAATTTGGTCAAGAATGGACTAGTTGGTATCAGCTAAGAATTTAGGCAAGATCTGGCAAGAAAACCTTCAGGATGGGTTGAAAGTTGAAATAAGTTCTGATTTGAAACTCCTCCATGGAACTGACCTGGAATTTTCCTTACCTATCTTTCTGTTATGGAATTATGGGGCTTGTCTGAATATACCAAAATAGGGGTCCCAGATCCAAGTCATTTCAGGCATGGAACAGATTTGTACACACCTTGCTTGTGCTGTAGGTTTCACAAGGTCTGGACCCTCCTCCATCCTTCACCCCTTGATATGTTTGAATACAGAATTGATAGATGTACTTCAAAGGAGTTTTACGAACACCAGAGTAAGAACCTCTGTCTGCAAAATGCTCTCTGAAATTCTGCAAGGCTTTTAACGGAAGGAGTCTGCTGGGCAGCTTAGCAACGTTTAGCTAGCAGCCACCAGCACCATGGAGTCTGTGGTTGCCTGGGGTTTGGTAATGATGTACGTAAAACACTGCCTCTCGGGCTGCAGAGGGGATTTAGGGCTCCAGATTGTATCTATTTCTGAGGATCTGATGAAAGCTGCACATCTTGTTCTCAGAAAAAATACAGATATTTTCAATCACTCTTGTCTGTAATTGCAGGAAGATGGCTCCTAGACCAGTCAAAAGTCCAACCATGGACCCTTTTGGCAAGGGCTATGCCTCCAGATCTAAAACCCTGCTTGAGCTATTCCGCATGGGGTTTGGGTATCAGACTCTATGAGCTGGAGATTAGTCAGCAATTAGGAACTTCTCTTCAAACATGTGTTTTCTGTTTTCTCAGAGTATCTTAAGGAAATGTGACTCATGCATGTTTTTGACTTTGTCCACCTTTTTACCACTATAAATTCCAAACAATTAGCCAACTAGTTTGTATGATTTGAGGAAGTTTTAAAAGTCAGAGATCCCTTCTTGAGTTCCTTCTCTTAGTTTCGGCACCTAGCAAAGTTCTGTGTTATTAAATATTTATCTATTTGAAAGATAGAGCAAAAGAGAGAGAAACAGAAATCTTCTGGCCCCTGGTTCACTCCCTAAATGACCCCTGTGACTGGAGATGGAATCAGAAGCTAGGAGCTTCCTCCAGATATCCCACCCGGGTGGCAGGACTCATGTACTTGGGCCATCATTTGCTGCCTTTCAGGCCCTAAGCAGGGAGCTAGATAGGAAGTGGAGCAGCCAGGACACGAACCAATGCACTGTGGGATGTGTCTGCCACATCTACCTGCCACGCCACAGTGCTGGCCCCAGTACAGTGTTTAACAGTAAGCTTTCATTAATTAAGTACTACCTGTATCAGTGAGTGCGTATCTTGATAATTCTGAGAAATAATATCAAAGATACCCCAAATTCAGGTCTCAGAAGGAATGTTTGGCCAAGTTTGTAGTCCATCTGGCATTTCGTTTATTGCCTGACTGGCTAGACTGATTTCTTCCCTTCATGTTTTAGTTTTCTGTGTGAGTAGAAATCCGAGAGCACGCTTCGAGTACCTGGTAGAATAAATGCCTGTTAGTCTCCTGCCAAACCTGAAATCCCCTAGACTCCTCCTGCATTCTAGAAACTCATTTAAATGCTCCTTGCTCATCACTCTGGAATTTCCTTCCTTTGCTAGGTAAATATTAAGAACTACCCTCTGGCCCTCAGCTCGCCTGCTCTGCTGGTGCACCTGAATTTATTGTCTAAGAAACTCGGTGTTTGAATTGGAATTCTGATACTGCAGCTTTTTATTTGTGCGATACTTGGGCAAGTCACTATAAAAATAGGAGTACAGTCACTACTTTTATAAGGCACCCATTAAGATTACAGAAAATCATGCATTTGAAAAGCACATAGCCTGGTGCCTAGAGCAGCATATGCCCCTGTTAGCAGTTCTACTCCCACAATCTCCATCTTCCTCTTCCCGTATTAAAGGACCTTAATGAGGCTTAAGGGTCCTTGTCATCAGAAAGTCAGCAGCAGCAAAAACACTTGTCTTCCAGGACCCTGAGATGAGACAGAACCTGCAGGCTGCACTCAGCTGCTGAGGAGTAATGAGAGGACTCAGACCCTTTGTGCCTCCCCAGCCTGGGGCAGGATTCTGTGCTGTTGATATCACTGTGGAAGTGGGGGGCTCACCTTGCAGTGCCTCTGACACTAGGGCTATAATTCTTTTTGGTTGTTCAGGTTGTGAGTCTTCAGGTTTTGGTAGTCATAGAGAAAAAGTGGGAAGAACAATTGCAGATAAACCTAAAAGGTGGGAAAACGGTACTTTATTACACCCCTTGAGAGAACCTAGGTTTTCACCATGCAATTTGGCATCATAACCTAGGAAAAGTCACTTTTCCTTCACTCCTGTGGCTAGTTTTCTAATTTGTAAGCCAGGGAGTGCTTACTATAGAACCCTGCATATCTATTTTAGGTTCTGTTTTAATATTGAATAGATGTATAATTGAATAAATGGGAGGGAATTATTTTGCATCAAAAATATTTTGTTCATGGGTAAAATAGTTATTTGTAATGAATTTTGTTAGGAAAATTATTATTATTATTATTTTAAATATTTATTTTATTTTTATTGGAAAGACGGATATACAGAGAGGAGAGACAGAGAGGAAGATCCTCCGTCTGATGATTCGCTCCCCAATTGAGCGCAACGGCCGATGCTATGCCGATCCGAAGCCAGGAGCCTCTTCCGGGTCTCCCACGCGGGTGCAGGGTCCCAAGGCTTTGGGCCATCTTCGACTGCTTTCCCAGGCCACAGGCAGGGAGCTGGAAGGGAAGCCGGGTTGCCGAGATTAGAACCAGCGCCCATATGGCACTGAGAATGGGATGGCTCAAAAAGTCTGGAAATAGAATTAAAAGATAAATTAATTTTTGTGCCAAAAATATTGAAATCTATACAGATAGAAGGTCTTTTTTTTTTATTAATAAAATTTATTTTGACATTCTTTACATAGTTAGTTAGAGTAAGAAGGTTCAAGGGCTACAGGAAAGTGGATAATACTAGTATGTTTTCCATATTGTTACCTTCATGTTTAAAGGGGGATATTAAGGGAGAAGGCCCACCCAATTTCCCACCCTCCCCAGGTCCCGGATGTAGGGCACGCTCTGAGGTTCTTGCTCAAGTGGTTTTGATATTGCCACAGTTATGAATCGTTGTCAATCTTGCCACTCCAAGCACTATGAGGTCTTTGAAAAATCCACTGATTGACATAGTCCATCATAGCTAAGATGGTTGGTTGACCCGTTCTGTCTTCTCTCTTTTCTTCGTTAGGGTTCTGACTCCAGCATTTAGATTAGGAAGATCTCCAAAGAAACTTCTTGTATGTGCTAACAAGTACAGGGCCTGGCACCGTCCATCACTCCAATCAGCTGGTGGTTGTAATTGCTGGGTTGGTTCTGTTTTCACTCCCGACTTCCACTGGAACCAATGGGTGTTGCAGTCCAGCCTGGTTCTGCCCCGCACATACGTGGCCCTCACATAAACCAATGGGAGCTGCAGCCTAGTTGGAGTGACCCACAATAACCCCCACCAGGCCCGCCCCCTACCCTGGTTTGCCAGTAAGTGTAACAGTAATCCAGTCTGTCCCACACCCCATTCCACCCCAGCTGCTGTCTTAGTTTTATGTCCTCCCGTGGAAGTGGTAACCCAAGAGGGATGAGCCCACTATTTCCCTCCCAGGCCTCTCCCACTCCCAGATTCCAGTTGATGCTGCCCAAACAACCCTCGCCCACTTTAATTTTGTTTGCACCAGTAGGAATAATCTGCCCAGCCTGGCTTTTCCCTGATCTAGTCCACATGAGGCACACAGGTGTGGTAGCTCTGCCTAGTCTGGTCTGCCACTGCAATCAGACAGTCGAGTCTAACACTGAATAGGCAAAGTATGCATCTAGTGTAAAAGTCAAGAGGATAATTAAGAAATCAGAGAAAAGTAATCCACTTTGCCTCCTACCGCTGTCTCTTGACCACTTAGGTGCTACTCAGAGGCTTGTGAAGGTTCCAGATATAGTTTCTGCTGAAATTGAGCAATCCATTAAAAATGAAAACTAGGGGCCCTGCACAGTGGCCTAATGGCTAAAGTCCTCGCCTTGAATAAACCAGGATCCCATGTAGGCGCTGGCTCTAGTCCCAGCAGCCCTGCTTCCTGTCCAGCTCCATGCTTGTGGCTTGGGAAAGCAGTCGAGGATGGCTGAGGGTCTTGGGATCCTGCACTCGTGTGGAAGACCTGGGGGTGGTTCCTGGCTCCTGGCTTCGGGTCGGATTGACGCAGCTCCAGCTGTTACGGTCGCTTGGAGAGTGAATTGTCGGATGGAGAATCTTCATCTCTGTCTCCTCTCCTTTCTGTGCATCTGATTTTCCAATGAAAGAAAATAAATCTTAAAAAAAAATGAAAACTAGATAAATAATGCTTTTCTGTTTGAGGACATGAGCAATTGTAGAAAATAAAAAAATTCAAAAGGAAAAGTATGTAGAGGAAACTGAAAATAGGCATTAGGCTTATCGTCTTAACTCCGAAGGTAGCTTTATTAGGATATTTCACTTATTGCTCTGAATCCCAGTGGTTTGATGCAGTAGGAGTTTATTTCTTGTTCATGTCTCAGGCTCATGCACATTGGGCAGCTCTCCTAGGTCCCATGTCGCTCATGTAGTGATAAGGTAGATCTACATGAATCGACTCTGCGCTCAGGATCCTAGGAAACTTGAGGGCCATGCCTGGAGGTTATTTCCATATATCATATTAGTAGCATCCTATTGCTTGGAGCCATTCCTTATTTTGAATGCTAGGAAGGCTGGAAAATACATTCTTTGTATCAGTGAGCATGTAGCTCTTCCCTGCAGTAGTGCCCTGGTTCCCTATGCTTGACTCTAACCCAGGTATCTGTTCTTTTTGCACTGCAGGTAGTATACCTGGCCAGCGAGACCTTCAACTACAGTGCCATTGACAGAGTGAAGTCCAGGGGCAAGCGGCTAGCTCTAGAGAAAGTGCCAAAAGTTGGACAGCGGTTTAACCGGATTGGGCTACCACCAAAGGTATAAATTGGACCTTTGTGACTTCTCAGTGGCGTTGATTTTTAGTGGCATGGTCACTCAGGTGATTACAGAAGGGGTCTCCAGACTTGTCTGTGGACATGGGCATAGTCTGCCCTGAGGCCTCTGTCTTCCTCTTTCCTGCGAACGGCCTGAGGTTTGGTAAATACTTCTCTGGAATAGAGACCCAGCTTTCTCACCTAGTCCCTGTGGAACATCAGGATGGTCTTGTTTAATCCAGATGGATGACCCTAATCAGTGGTCCACATGGGTATACATCTTTCTCAACTATGTAAGCAACATCAAAAATAAAATAAATTTATTAAAAATCTGGGTGGATGACTACCACCACAACCCCCTTTCTCATGTATTTACAAGGGAATGAAGCAGGAAAGATCCCTTACTGATAAGAAGTCTTAGGGCCTTAGTGGGTACCTGGCTTGCTCCTGGGGTCTTTGGATGTGGGCTCTAGAAAAAGACTTTTGTTCCTTCGCCTTGGTTCCAGGTCGGTTCATTCCAGATCTTTGTTGAAGGCTACAAAGATGCAGATTACTGGCTACGGCGGTTTGAAGCAGAGCCTCTCCCTGAGAACACTAACCGGCAACTACTGCTGCAGTTTGAGCGGTTGGTGGTGTTGGATTATATCATCCGCAACACTGGTGAGCAGCTGCTGGTGGTCCTGTGCCCTTGGTGGGATCAGGGGCCATAGGAACAGAGTGCCCTGTTAGTGTGAATTTGTTCCCTAATTCTAAAGGGCCGTGATCCTTTTGGGAGAGCCTCAGACAATGTTTTTCCAGGTTGAACTTTGTCTAGGTATGTCATCTGCAGTTGTTAGAGGTGGGAAGGCCTCGAGCCAGTATTTCTATTCTATCTTAGCCTCCCTGGAGCCTCCCAGGATGCCTGGTTCTTCTGAAGCATCTTGAAGAGTTGAGTTGTCCCATAGTCTCCATTGGTTCTGGGACCTCCCTATAAATGCCAAAAACCATGGATATTCAAATCCTTTATATATATAAAATGATATACTATTTGCATATAAAAACCTATGCACACCCTCTCATGTGTTTTAAATTGTGTCTTGATTATTGTAATAGTTAATAGAATGTAAATGCTACTCGAATAGTTATACTGTATGGTTTAGGGGATAATGGTAAGGAAGAAAGCTCTGCACATGTTCAGTTAAGATATATTTGTTCCCTTCTTTTAAAGACTTATTTATTTTTATTAGAAAGTCAGATTTACAAAGAGGAGGAGAGACAGAAAGATCTTCCATCTGTTGGTTCAATCCCCAAATGGCTGCAACGGCCAGAGCTGAGCTGATCCAAAGCCAGGAGCCAAGAACTTCTTCTGGGATTCCCACATGGATGCAGGGTCCCAAAACTTTATGCCATCCTCCACTGCTTTCTCAGGACACAATCAGGGAGCTGGGTGGGAAGTGGAGCAGGTGGGACACGAACTGGCACCCAAAGGGGATCCTGGCACATGCAAGGCGAGGACTTTAGCTGCTAGACTACCATGCCAGACACCTAAATATTTTTAGCGTGGAGTGTAGTGATAGTAAGTATCTGCAGATTGTGTAGCCATCACCACTTTGCTTCTCTAGAATAACCTGTATTTTGTAAAATTGAAATTCTATACCCATTAAAAAATAATTGTCTATTCTCCTGCCTCCCAGGCCCTTTCCTGCCTCCCACACTGTGATGTTGATTACTCTAGATATGTCATATAAGTGAAAGCATAAAATATTTGTTATGATTTGCTTGTTTCATTAAGTGTAAGGTCCTCAAGGTTCCTTTATATTATAGCTTATGTCAAAATGTTTTTCCTTTTCAATTCTGAATAATATTTTATGTTGCATATACTTTGCTTAGACGGACGGGTCAATGGACACTTGGGTTGTTTCTCTCTTTTTGCTTTTGTGAATAAAGCTGCTATGAGCATGAGTGTTCAAGTATTTCTGCAAGACCTTGCTTTCAGCTCTTCTGAGCGTATACCCAGAAGTGATATTGCTGAACCGCGTTGATTCTGTTTTTACTATTTGTGATGAACCGGGTGCTCTAGGGAAAAGAAGCCATAAATTCTCGTCTCTCTGGATTTCTGTTCTCTCCAAGCTCTTTTTAAAATAAAAATTGTTAAATTTAACAGACTTTTAAAAATTGTGTGTATATATACATATATATATATGTATGTGTGTATATATATATATGTATGTATATATATATATATATTGTGTGATATGCAATCAAGGTCTCCCAGTTCTTGACTCTTAAATTCTTTATAATTTTGTGAAAGTGCCTTCAAGAGATTTTAAAATATTTTAGGCCAGATTTTGCAGTTATTTTTAGTAGTAAGCTTGAAAGTCACCCTAAATTTTCCTACTAATTTTATATTTCTATCTACAGATCGAGGCAATGACAATTGGCTAATTAAATATGACTGCCCTATGGATAGTTCCAGCTCTCGGGTAAGAGTTTGATCCATTGACCTGAAGAAGATGATGAGGAATGTCTGGATAATATCAAAAACATAAGGTGGTCCCCAATTTAGATCACATACATTGAGAAGCATCAGAAGCACATATTTGAAACTATTAATAGATTATATTTGGTAGAGTTTTTCTTAATCTCTGTTTTAGAGAATATTCTGTTGACTGATGTTAATAAGAATAGCGTGAAGAGGCGCTGACTGGGGCACCCTCCTCCCACATGAGTACCTGCATTTGATTCTGGGCTCTGGTGATTCCAGCTTCCTGCTAATGTACACCCTGGGAGGCAGGGTGATGGTTTACGTAGTTAAGTTTCTGCCACCCATATGAGAGACATGAATTGGGTTCCTGGCTTTGGCGCAGCCCAGTGCCAGCCATTATGGGCATATGGGGAATGAACCAGGGGTTGGGATCTCTCTATCAAAATGTATGTCTGTCAGTCTCTCCTTCCGCTGTCTTTTCCTCTTAGATAAATAGTTATATTTTAATCAGTAGCATGAAGAAAAGGTCAAATATGTTTGAACTATATGTATCACATACTGTGTGCATATCACATTGCTTAATAGCTTGCTAAAAATCTGCAGAATACTATTCAGTTTTATTTGGCACGGCGATGTCTACACCAAAAAAAAAAAAAAAAGTTATTCTTTCATTTGAGAGGCAGGGGGAGCTAGACAAATAGAGCACTCCCATGTATTGACCCACTCCCTAAAGGCTGACAAGGGGTGTGGAAGCTGAAGCTGTGACCCAGGAACTCATGCGTGTCTCCAGTGCTTGCCCTTCAGTTCTTGTGTTACTGAAGCAGAACAGACCCCCTTTGGAAGAGCTGCCAACTCTTCCTTTCCGTGGTTGTTTCTCACTGGACAGTGTGGTGATCCCCAGTGAAGTGATGTCAGAGTTAAAAATGCACCCTAAAGGGCCCTAGCCATCAGATACAGATGTTTCTTCTTCTCCACTCTCCAGATTCTCAATACCTTTCCCTCCAATGATAGCTTATAGCAATCTTTGTTATTATTCTATTCTACATTTCAAATACAATGGTAAAGAAATAAGTACGATGTCATAGATGAACTAAATGTGGATGTCAAGAGTTAACCACTCGGGGGCAGGGAAGATCAAATTGGTTGAGTGAGTTTTGGTGCATGAGGATGCTGAGATGGTTGCTTTGCTGGAGCCGGCACAAGGCAGCTAAGTACCTCTGTAATTAGTCCCTTTTCTCTGCAGGACACAGATTGGGTGGTGGTGAAGGAGCCGGTCATCAAGGTGGCTGCCATCGACAATGGGCTGGCTTTTCCCCTGAAGCATCCTGACTCATGGAGGGCATGTAAGGCTCTGAATGCTGGGGACTAGCTCTGTTCTGCCCAGACTTGACTTTCTCTGTGCAGTGGGGATAATAATACCTTTATCATGGAGTTCTAGGAATTAATGAGATTATGCAGGCTACTGATCCAGTGGGCCAGCAAATGGCAACTACTCTCTAACATAAGCTGCTAGGATTTTTAAACTTCTGTTATTCCCATTAGCAGCATAAAGGTGATTTCAAGATGAGAAGCATAAAGATGAGTCTTTTCATCCTCACCTTGCATTCTGTCATGCTTTTGAGGACTTTTTATAATCGATCTTATTTATGTCTCCATAGATAAGCTGCTGTTAGTATTCTGTATTGCTGGTTGACATTTTCTACCCCATTATAACAGAGACTTGTGGAAAATGGGAGTTGTGAGAGTGGGGGATACAGAGAGTAGGTCTCTAGCCGCATTTTCAGCAGTAGCCTTCCTGGTGGGAAGGACTGTCCCAATGAGTCAGTGGTGAGTGACTGCTTCCAGAGAGGCCTGAAGGTCTTGATCTCATGAGATCTGTGAAGACGCTCTGGGATGGGCAGATCTGGGTTTGGGTGCTGCTTCCCTCACTTGCTGGTTGAGCAACCTCCACAGTAACAGCACTGCTGAGTTCTCCCATTGAGAGTGCCCTGATGGGTGGAGGTCACAAGGGCTTTGACTCTAATACAAGCTTTGCTTTGGGCCTTTCCTCTTTTCAGATCCTTTTTACTGGGCCTGGTTGCCCCAGGCCAAAGTCCCCTTCTCTCAGGAGATCAAAGATCTGATTCTTCCGAAGATATCAGACCCTAACTTTGTCAAGGACTTGGAGGAAGATCTATATGAACTCTTCAAGGTTAGCTCTGGGAATCATGTTATTATACAATAGGAGGGATTCTGGATGGTTTTTCTAATTGTTCCTGGTGCAGGCCAGCAAGGAATAGTAAGCTGGTGAAAAGCAAGCTTCCAAGGGACTGGTTTGGCTGGGTTTGAAGGAAAGGGGCACCATGGTGCATTGCCATATGCATCATGCAGCTGCTCTGTATTCTCAGAGGTCATATTAAAATGGAGCATTGGCATCTGCAGCCAGAGATGCAGAATGAGATATCTGTTTATTCTGTTTTTCCATGTGTGAAATAGAAAGTTCTGAGTGTGGTGGTTTACTGGGCCTCACATACCTTCTGTCAGTGTTCTGTATCAGGTTTTTAATTAGAGGAGAAAGAAGTCTCATCTCTTCTTGTTCTTAATTTGCAGAGAGATCCTGGTTTTGATAGGGGCCAGTTCCACAAGCAGATTGCCGTCATGCGGGGACAGGTGAGCTTGGGATGTCCTGTGGGGCTTTGGGGGCTCCATCTGGGAGGGCACTGTGCTCAGTTTGAGCAGAAGGGTAAAGCTTGTGTTTTGTACCCTTTTCACATGTTTGTGATCTGCCCTAATGCATGGAAGAGGAAAGATGGCCATCCTAGGTCTCCCACCTTTTCCGTGGTAGCCAGTGCTTGCTTGCTATCACACTGTGTGGTTGTGTCATTAGTGGAGATAGCAGTGATCCCTGTCCTCAAATTGAAAAGTTAGACCCTTCTAACCCTTTCAAGCTCTGTGGCCTTTGGCAAGACCCTCTGTTGTGCATCTGTTAAGAGTTGGGCTGACCTGGTACCCAGCCTGTGATCAGAGCACCTGGATTTGAAGCCTGGCTTTGGCGTTAACAACTGTGAGCCTTGAGCAAGTATTTAATCTTTACTTCCCTTAGTTTCTCCATTTGCAACAGGACTAATAACTGCCTACATAATAGGGTTATGATGAGATAAGTTAGCTGGAGTAGTCCTGGCACACTGAAGTACTCAGTATGTGATTGCAATTAGGATTTTGTATATAGAAAAACCAGCTTCTCACACCTCTAAAACTGGTCAGTCTTCTCAGCCATTATACATTTACTGCTTCTCATTGTTTAGCTGAGACTGGGAACGGTATTGCTTGAACTTGCTGAGCCCATTTCCCCCTAGGAATGGGGCGGTCAATGCCTGGCATTGTGGTGCAACAGGTTAAGGCACCACCTGTGATACTGGCATCCCCATATGACTGCCAGTTTCAGTCCCAGCAGCTCCTCCTCCTCCTCTTCTTTTAAGATTTATTTTAATTTTATTTGAAAGAGATTTTCTTACGTTGTTTACATAGTTGAGAGGAATGTATGCCCGTGAGGACCACTGATTATGATGCGGAGGGTGGAGACATGGAGGAGGGTAGATGAGACAAATGCTTCCAATTTTTTTTTCCTTTTTTCGCCTGCATCATCAGGGGTGTGGGGAAGGGAGAGGCAGGAGCTGCTCCTACCTGCCAAAATACAACACCACCCAGGGATGGAAGATGGCCACTTGATGCCCATATTTCAGTTAGATTTTCCCCTCCAATGCTGTCTCCTCATTGTTTCTCTAAGTAAAATGATCATTTTAGAGTAAGTTTAGGTTTACATGTATTCAGCTACATAGACAGGTTATGGCCTCTTCCAGAGCTGATGTCTAAAGCGAAAGCTTCATTCTGCTTTGGTGTACCAGCAGCAGTCAGGTAAGAATTCCAGTGAGATCCTAATCACCTGCCTGTGTGAAGCCAGATGCTCACGGAACCTGGAGGTGTCGAGAGGCAGGTGCTGGTCCAGGAACTGCCTCCAAAGCAGATTCCATCTTATCTCACTACCCGGCATTCTGAAAGGCAAAGTGGCTGAATGCCCATGACCATGTAAACTCCCTGACTGTCTATGAGTCAGCTGACCACCAGCCAGCCTTGTTAAAGAAAGCACTCCCAACAACTCCCAAAGCATCTCCAACCTGTAGCCTCGTTAGCCAGCTAAAGTTTCAAAACAAGTGCCAAAAGTTCAGACTTATCTTCCTGCTTGATTCCTTAAAAAGCTCTCCAGCCTCCTGCTAGAACACCCTGTAGGTTGGCCCTTGGTTGGGTGGCCAGACTGCAATTCTTATTGTGGAATAAATGTTTGCTTCCTTTGTTCATATTACTACCTGCTACTACCTTTATACCAGCTCGCTAATATCAAAGAATATCAAGTGATGTTTGAGGTTTTCAAAAAGTCTACCAGCCTAAGTAAGCCCCTCCGCCACTCAAGCAAGGCAAGAGACCATGTTAGTGGTATTCAGACAGTAATTTCAGCTCCTTATTTTTTTTTTTAAGATTTACTTCTATATATTTGAAAGGTAGAGTTAGAAGAGAGAGGAGGAGGAAAGGGAAGGAGAGAATGAGAGACACAGATGGATCTTCCATCTAGTGGTTCACATCCATGTGGGAGACCCAGAAGGTTTCTAGTTCCTAGCTTTAGATCAGCTCAGCTCCGGCTGTTGCAGTCACTTGAGGATTGAATCATCAGACGGAAGATCTTCCTCTCCGTTTCTCCTCCTCTCTGTATATCTGACTTTCCAATAAAAATAATGACTGGGGCTGAACTGATCCAAAGCCAAGAGCCAGGAGCCTTTTCCAGGTCACCCACATGGGTGCAGGGTCCCAAGGCTTTGGGCCATCCTCGACTGCTTTCCCAGGCCACAAGCAGGGAGCTGCATGGAAAACAAGGCCTTCAGATTTAGAATTGGTGCCCATATGGGATTCTGGCACATGCAAGGTGAGGACCTTAGCCACTAAGCTACTGCCCGGGTCTGTCTTATGACTTTTATAAATAGCTGTCTGTGTGATTTCCCACTGCTGTGTCAATCCCTTACTCCTCTGTGGAAGCTCTTTGTGCTGGCCTCCCTTCAGAGGCAGACCTGCAACACCTTGGCCCTTCCCCTCACTCAGCTCCTTCTTCTCACTGCAGATCCTAAACCTGACCCAGGCCCTGAAGGACAACAAGAGTCCCCTGCACCTTGTCCAGATGCCCCCCGTGATTGTTGAGACGGCCCGTTCGCACCAGCGGTCTTCCAGCGAGTCCTACACGCAGAGCTTTCAGAGTCGGAAGCCCTTCTTTTCCTGGTGGTAGCCCTAGAGGCAGGTGAAGGAAAGACTGAGACTTGGGCTGGAAGGAAACCTGCAGAGCCAGGTGCAGAAAAAGCCAGGGAAGCTGGTGGAGAAAGCAGTGCCTGGAAGTCCTCTCCCTCTCTACTCACCACCCACAGGGAGAAGCACAATCAGGGACAGTGAGTGCCCTTGGGCCCTGCTGAGGGCCAGAGGGCCATGCAGGCGCCTGGAAGGGAGAATCTCCCTTCCAGGGACTCCTGGTGGCAGCTGGGAAAGTCCTTTCCTTCCCCAACACCTTGCTCTGTTGCAAAAGTCCCTATTATATTCTGCATCAGAAAAACAAACCAACAAAAACAAGTTAAATGCTTGTAGCAAATCCCTACAGCCTCCTAGGGCAGAATCCTTTAATCTAGACCTAAATTTGCATAGGCACAGACCTTTGTGTTGCTTATTCCCAGGAACCAAGGCTGTCAGGGGACCACTTGCAGTGCTGGGACACACAGAAGGCCCATCTTTCTTTTGGGTTTTTGCCAAATCTCCTTTCCCTTTCTCTTCCTGCCAGTGTTGTAGGTGGTTCCAGGCCTCCCCATCCTTCTCATGACAAGGAGGCTTGGCTTTGCCACTGCCTGTGGCTCTGCACTCTGGCCAACTGCAGCTAGCCTGTTTGTCACTCAGGCAGACACAGGCGGGACTGGGCTTAGCATTTTATCAGGACAGGAAATTGACACCCCCGCATGGAAAGGTGATAGTTCAAATGTATGCTGGGAGCAACAAGTGTTCTGTGGGTGTACTTGTCCAGCCCTACTTCTGGAGTCCTTGGTTCCAGCTATTTGTTCCGCCCTTACTTTAAATATTTGTCTTCCTAACTCTTGATTTATGAGTTCAGTTTGGGTTCTGGAGTGGGTCTCCGAGAGGATCCTGGGTTGAGTCCAGCCCTTAAGAGAACACGATATTAGGTTCTTGTATTTACATGCTACTATCATGGCATGGCAGAAGTGTTCTGCCTGCTGATGGGCAGTTTCCTTTTTGCTTCCTGACTTCTTGTTCTATGCTGGTTTCTCCGTGGCCTCTTGAGCAAGGCAAGGCCCCAGTGTTGCCAGTGCCTACTCAGCTAACAGTGCATATTCTCACTTCCATGTGTCTTCCCTGCTCTCCACACCCCTGCCAGATGTTCAAGCCCTTTCTACACCAAAGCAAAGAAGGCCACAGGAGGGAGTAAAAAGGGTACTGCCTGTGGCTGAGGCACAGCTGAGTTCTGTCACCCTGCAACTGGTCAATCAGCCTTGGAAAGAAGCTATCACGAAGGTTTAAGAAACAACCAAAGAAAAGGAGTGAGGTGACGGCTGTGTCCTCTGCTTGCCTGGCTCCCATCGTCCGTGACGCAGAGACCGGCAGCCCTCTCATTGGCTGTGCCATGCTGCTCCCCTTCCATCATGGGTTGTGCTGGGCTTCTGCCCAGCTGAAAAGAAGAGCTGGATATACATGCCCTATGGACAAAGGCACAGCTCCCTGCCTGCCCAAGTCTGACAATCGCTTCCCGCTGATCTGGACTCTGGCCTTGGACATGTTTGAGAGACTGGCTGCCTCCTGACCACAGGTGCTAGCGGGGTTCCAGGTGTGGTAGCTTCCCATGGACATCTTGACCCAAGCACGTCCGGGAGCTCCTGGCAACCTATGGCGTCTGAGGATCAGCTTGGTTTCTTCCTCCAGCCAAGCCAGGTCTATACATTGTCCTGATCCAGACCAGCTCTGTGAGCAGAAGAAATTGGGGTCCAGTATAAGAGGGAGCCAGTCAGCGTGGACATCCTTCCCTGGCCCGTCTGCATCCTCTCTGGAAGCCTGTCCTCAGGTTGACTTGAATGTGGACTTTGGGAGAGCCAAAGGCCTGGGTGCCAGGGCAGGCTTTTTGGTGGCACTCCTGCAACACCTCATCCCTCTGCCAGTGTGGGCCCTGTTCCATGGTGTTGAAGTGGAGGCTGGGCTGTGAGTGCTGCTGCCCCCCCCATGTCATTCTCTAATGCACTGTAGAAATTGTATGTATTGTATTTAAATCAATGCAGATGTATGAATAACAAATCCAATTCTGACTATTTTTGTCCAGTGTTCTTTGTGGGAAGGAACACCAAGAGGGTGGAATATAACTTAAGGACAGAGTAGAAGGGCTGAGACAGGACCCTTACTTCCAAAGTCCCAGGGCTCTGAAATTCCCACAATATGTTCATAACTCATTTGATACCACATTTACACCGTGGTGAATCTATTGGTCATTACTAGACATGCTTCTTAGTTTATTTTTTGCACAACTATTGTCTGTTGTAAGAGCTGGCCCCTAAGAAATATTACATAGTATATTCCTTACTTAGAAAAAGTAATGTCGGTTCTTGTCTTCCATGAATTTTCATAAGAAAAAGTAGTGGGCCAGTGGTGTGGCCTAGCGGCTAAAGTCCTCGCCTTGAATGCGCCAGGATCCCATATGGCTCCCATATAGAAGTGGATCCCAGTGGCTCCACTTCCCATCCAGCTCCCTGCTTGTGGCCTGGGAAAGCAGTCAAGGACGGCCCAAAGCCTTGGGACCCTGCACCCGCATGGGAGACCTGGAAGAAGTTCCTGGATCCTGGCTTACATCAGCATAGTACCAGCCGTTGCGCTCACTTGGGGAGTGAATCATCAGATGGAAGATCTTTCTGTCTCTCCTCCTCTCTGACTTTGCAATAAAAATAAAAAAATAAATCTTAAAAAAAGACAAAGTAGTGAGCAAAGCAAGACTGATTTATTTAGTCAGGAACCTGCTGCAGCAGCCAGGAGATGGCTCCAAAAGGAAACAAGTGAAAAACAGAGTCAAATCTCTTAAGCACAATTTTTGGTGAAAAAAATACAACGGCAACTAACAATCAGAGGGTGGGGATGAAACCCATCAAAATTGTAATTATGCAACTTCCCAATATAAAACAAAAATCCACCAGAGGATTACTATAGGGTAACCATAAGTAACTTCTCCTGATAAAGCATAGAATTGCTGCTTCCTGGCTACTCTTAAAATAAAACTGAAAAGCCAGAGGAGTGGGATTACCACTTTGATCTTGTTAAAGGCAGATTTTTGGGGAGAAGCAAGCATCTTGTATCTTGTTTAAGAGATTCTACATTTTCTCATTCCAACAAAGACCTCACCGTAGTTCATCTAGCTCCTTATGTATGGACAGTGCAGGCGGCTGGAGGATGATTGGTCCCGGTCAGCCCATGGGGATGAAGAAGCCACGTGAGATGCTGGAGCCCATTGGTTTGCAGATGTAGCCCATCCAGCAGCCAGCGCCTACTGAGCAGGGCTGCCTACACAGTGTTCTGCTGTTCCTCAGATCTGATGGAGCATGGGGAAGACAAAGCAGAAGCCAGCCCTGATTTCTTCTTCCTGGGGTGCCTCGCCCCTACTCCTGAGCTGCTGTTTCAGGATCCTCCCCTGCTGCAACGCAGTTATACAGTTCTTGATAAAAGTGTGTGTGTTTGCCATTTAACACCTCAGCTCCCTTGTGCTGGTCTGACGGTGCTCGGCTATGGGACAGGCTACTAGTTCATGGGTTACAGTAGCAGCAGGTGGATCAGTAGGAAGTAGTGAGATGCTGCGTCCAAGAGCCTGCCACTCGGCTCCCAGGGAAGGTCATGCAGCCCGAGTACAGTGTTAGGTGAGGAAGGGCGGAGGCAGGGACAGTCACTGGTCTTCCTCATCTAAGTGAGGATCAGACCCCACCGAACCAAGCCAAACGGATGCCTCCTGCTCTCCATGGAGCAGGCCAGTGGCAGCGGTCTCTTCCTTTGGGTTTTTCAGGTAGGCCTGCCCGCCCCAGGTCTCTTCCTCTTCACCTCCCCAGGCCCTTGGGCAAAGGTCCCTGTGATTCCTGGGGAAGCCACTGCCATTCCCGGCCCCTTCCCTGCCTCAGTGCCTGATCTGGTGGAGGTAGCCTGTGGGGCCCGGCTTGGCCCAGTTCTGGCGGATCCTAGCACTTGTCCTCCGGATGCTCGGCTGCTGCTCGCTGGAGGCCATCTCTGTGGCATGGCTCTGCGAGTCAGCCAGTGGAGAGCGGGGCTCTGGGATCCTGTGGGGAACAAGTGAATGAGAAATCAGCATCAACAAGGACAGAATGGGGACTTGTAAGTTTTCTAATAGGGGACTATAAAACACCTCTTGGGGCAAAGTGACCCCAGTATATCTTCATCCTATACTCAAGGCAGACATTGTCTGTCAGTCATATTAGGAAAACAGTATTTGAAGTCATGACTACAAACTGACTGGATGTAATACAAGCAATGAAGCTGACTCAGGATCTAGGCCCTACTGGTCCCAGAGGCCCTAATCAGATGTGCTGTTCTTATTGTGGGTCCTAGAAAAGGCAGCCAGGGAAGGAGCCCTGGGTGTTACAACCCACAGTGATTGGTATGGGCTACGTGGTTCAGCTAGGCCCCGTGCTGGTGGTCACCTAGGCAAAAAGTGGATGACTAGGGAGCTGGGGAAAGATGCTGTCTAAAGGTCAATTCTCAACAGCTTTTAACCTCCAACAGCACCACAGTAGCTTTCCATGACCTGTAAGCCCATAGGCAGATTTTAACCAGGCTTACTTCTGAATGTCACTACTAGTCTATAGCAGAAAGAGGGTACCCTTCCTTCCAGGCCACATTCCCTCCCATCCAGCTGAGAACCACTGTGGAATAAGGTGATGCTGCTGGGACCCAGACGCCCCTTCCCATGGGAGTTCACACCACCATGTACAATTCCAACAGCACCAGCAGTCTTACAGGTGCTAGCCAGGAGGTGGTGTCAGTAGCTGTAACAACCCCAAAGCAGGGCAAGTCAGGCCAAACCGCAGGTCCCAAGTCCCACAGCTAGGCACCCTGGGCCAAGCCACAGGAATGCGCCTATCCCTCAGCCTCCAGTCCCTGGAACCTACCGGAGCCTGCTGCAGGGATGCAGCGAGTGGCCCAGCAGTTTCTGCCTAGGAGGCCTCTTCCTGCGCAGCCGCCTCAGGGCCTCTGCCACACGGTGCTCCCCAGCACACTCCCAGATAATCTGGGCACGCTCCTTGGCCAGCTGGTCCCCGCTGCGCTGAAACAGGCCCTGGATCTGCAGCAGCTCCGCATCCTGGAAGATGTTGGCCGAGGCCTGCTTGCGGCCCCGCACTTCTGTTGGGGGCTTCCACGGGGGCGGCTCGCTGACCACAGAGGCTGGGGTGCCCATGCTGGGTACTCTGAGGGTGAAAACAGGAGATAGCAGAAGCTCAACAGACTTTCCAAGCTTGAGGGAGGGCTCCTGGGGTCTCTGTTCTCCAGGAGCCGGCGTGGAGCAAGTCTTGTTCTCAAATCACTGATTGCCTAGGGTACCCTGGGAACCACACTAACCTTGGTTCAGACACTTGCATTATCTCTCAGAAGGTCGTAGCAACCTGGGAGGCAAGAATTACTGTTAATCCGCATCTTCAATAAAGAAGTGTGGCTCAGTGGTCATGAGGCTGGGAGGAGAACCTAGGTAGGCCTGGCTATAAGGGCCACCCAGATGCCAGGAGCACTTAACACACATCCACTGCTCTGTAACAGGTTTAGTCCCATAACACTGATGACATGCCTAAGCCACTGCCTCAGGAACGGGTACTTCAAGGATCAGCCACGGTTATGCACCAGACTCCAGGTATCCCGGCACAGTGGCCTGCCTCATGCTTCCTCAGTGTACCCTGGAGACCAACCCCTGCTCTACTGCAGTGAGCTGTGCCACAGGATCCGGTGGCAGACAGGGAGGCATTGCTACTCCGACACACCTTGTGACCTCAGCTGGCTATGGCCTAGCCCAAGTATACTGGGGTGGCTTGGGCAGTGCTAGGATGGTTGAGAACGGCGTGTTGTCCGTTCTCTCCGAGTCAGCAAATCCTACCTTCCCAGGTGAAGGCTGGATGACCACGGAGCAGCAGCAGCTTGAATCTGACTTGCAGTCAGGACTATCTGACAGCCTGCAGCCAGGTGAGTCACAGATACCAACACATGGCCATCTGGGGAGCCTGTGCCCCCAGCTGCAGCCAAGCTTCCATGAACCGGGCCAGGCCCCTCCAAGGCTTCATTTCTTCAGTTTCATTTAGTTGAAACGCAGATCAACAGGGAGAGACCTTCCATCTACTCCGTCACTCCTCCAATGTCTACAACAGCAAGTCCTGGGCCAGGCTGAAGCCAGCAGCTGGTGCCAGGGACCCAAGTACTTGCAGCACCATCTCCCACCTCCCAGGACACATGAGGAAGAAGCTGGATCAGAAGCGGAGGAGCCTTGAGCTGGGAACCCCTGTGGGATGCAGGTGTCCCAAGCAACAACCTAACCCTCTGTGCCACAACCACTGCTCTGACCCTTCCAGATGTTGAGGCCCCTCATCCTTGGTTCTGCCTAGCACCCTGGAATTCAAACAACCAAGTGCGGCTAGAGCAAAAAAAGTGTTGGATTCCATGTAAACCCTGGGAAAAGCCGTTAAGTAGTAAATCAGAATTTACTATCAGGGCCAACTTTTCTTATGTCATTGAAAGTGCTTAGCAGCCCCTTCCTCCTCACTTCCTGAAGAAGACCTTAATCCAGGTGATTGTAGGGAACTGTGAAAAGTGTACAGAGCTCTCATTTTCAGAGCCGACATGGAAGTGAACCCCCTTTGAATCAATTATCTTTTTAATCAGGGGCTGGGGACCTCTTAGAAAAATAACAGCAGGTTCTGGCCAAAAGCCCAGGCCTGCTACTCTGCAGACACCCCACGGATCAGCAACTAAAACCTGGGCCCAGTCCAAATGGCCATGTGGGTGTCACACCACCCACCACCACCACACCAGGCGATGCAACTTCGTGCTCCAGGAAACAGAAAGACACAGGGCTCTTTGCCCAGATCATGGCGCAGATGCAACATGGAAATAAACCGCTCCCAGGTGTGGAGGTAACTGCTTTTCCCAATAGGAAGTTCCGAACCCTGGATTCCGGGTGTGCCCCTGGACAAGCCTCAGGGACCCATGCTTCAGTGTTGTCATCAACATGAGAATTAAAAAACAAAAACAAAAAACCCTCACTACACAGTCCAGCGTGGAACAGATCCTGGGAGACTGAATCAACGGCGAGAGGCAGAGGCTGCACCCGCCTGCCATCAGCAAACTCCACCGAGAGGAGAGAGCGGTAGAAAGCAAGGGGTTCGTCGGCGTGCACTAAGACCTCAGCCTTTGGAGGCGGCATTACCGCTCCACCCCCAGGAGGAGAATCTGACAAATTTGAAAGCTGACTAACCTGCCCAGCGCCACACAGTTCACGGGCTGCAAGCCAAGTGCGAGCCCAGGGAGCGTCGGCCCCGGGGTCCCTGGGTGGCTGTCGGGGTCTGGAAGGCTCCCCAGCTTCCCTGCCCGATTCCGTGCGTTCCGCACTCATCCACCCGCGCCGGTGACAGCGGCCACCCGGACGACTCGGACCCGGGCAGGGTCCACCGCCTCCGGGAGGGCCGGCGCAGCTCCTGGGGTCGGTGGGGCACAGGCAGCGGTCACGGCCGGCCAGGCGCTGGGGGACGGCATCGCGGCCGAGGTCACACGGCCACACCCCTGCCCACCCAGCGGCTCTGCGTCCGCACCACAGCCCCGAGCCCCGCCGTCGGCCTGCCTACCTGGATGCCCGCGGCGAGCCCCACTCAGCCCCAAGCCGGCCCCGGATCTCCTCGGCGGCAGCCACGGTTCCCCGGGGAAAGCGCTCCAGGGAACCCGAACAGCCAATCCGGGCCCGGAGCCTCTGTGAGCGCTCAGGAACCAGCCTCCCAAAACCGAACGCGGAGTCTCTGCGGGCCAATCAGCGGCGGGACACGGGCAAGGGGGCGTGTCCTGACCCGCCCCCTTCTTCCACCAGGCTCGCCCGCAGACTGCGAAGATACCCGGTGCCCAATCAGCGGCGGCGCAGCGCCTAGGGGCGTGTCCGCTGGGTCCCGCCCCCGGCCGGCCGCCGTGGTGACGCAAGGCGTCCCCTTCGCTGACGTCAGTGCGCGAGGCCCGCGCCGTCTCGCTGGCGCGTGAGCCGGGCGGGGACGCATTCTTGCCCCGGGTGCGGCGGCTGCGCTGGACCTGCGACACGTGACGGGTGTCCCGACTTCCCGGGCCAGACGCCATCGCTGACGTCACCGCGTCCCGAGCTTTAAACTGCCGCTCCTGAAGCCCAGCTCCCCGTCCCGCTGTGTCCTGGCTCAGCTTTGGGGCGACTGTGAGGCCTGAAAGCCCGGTCCTGGGTTCGAATTTTGAACAGGTTGCAGTTCCCTAAACTCTTCAGAGTTTGTATTCTCTCGGTCTCCATGGGGAGCCTGTCCTGTGTGGGTTTCCTGACGGGCAGTCAGTAGGGGAGATCTAGAGCGCTCTAGCCCGGGAGAGATTACAGGCCGATGAAGAAGGCCGACCTCCGGCCACCTGACACAAGGTGTGTGGTGATCCCCAAGGAGGGCGCGTCTCAGCTCCCTCTGAGAGGCCACAGAAGACTGAAGAAGCCACTTGGGAGCTCAGGGGAAGGAGCTGGAATTGGTGGAATGAAGGAGAGTCGGTGTGAGGAGAGGGACAGTGGTGTGAGAGCCAGACGAGAAGGGGAGAGATTCATTCAGGCTGGTGGGGTACAGGGAGGGGAGCAGCAGGGAGAAGGCTTTGAACAGGGCTGGGCGTGCTGTGGGCTTTGTGTGAGGCACACTCTTTTTCTTGGAAGACTTATTTGAAACACAAAGCTACAGAGAGGAGGGAGAAATCTTCCATCTGCTAGTTCATTCCCCACATGGCCACACCACAGTGGCCACAGCTGAGCCAGGTTGAGGCCAAGAGCTTCTTCTGGGTCTCCCACAAAGTTGCAGGGTCCCAAGGACCTGAACCATCCTCTGCTGCCTTCCCAGGCCATTAGCAGGGAACTGGATCAAAAGTGGAGCAGCTAGAACCAGAACCAGCATCCATATAGGATGCCAGTACTGCAGGTAGAGGCTTAGCTTGCCATGCAGTGATGCTGGTCTTCCCTGGCCCCCAGGAAGTGACAGGTGTGCTTGTAGATGGGCACTGTGGTCAGGCTTGCAGCTTAGACTTGGAGGGGGCAGGAGTGGATCCAGGGAGTGTGTGGCAGGCTCGGGATGGAGGCCTGTGTTTCTTCCCCAGAAGATGAGGGATTATTGGTGCCAGTGCTCAGGACCTGTCAGAACGGGGGTCCTGGTCCCCCTGACTTCCTTTTCACTTCAGATTTGACCCTGTGTTCATGTACGTTTGTTTTCTTCCGTGACGTTCCGAGGCTGAGGGATGGCAGCCTGGCAGCCTGGCATTATCTGAAAGCGGAGGGCATGTTGGAGCTTCTTCCTCACCGCACTGGCTGTGGTTCCTCTCCCGGGCACACACATGGCACCTGTGGGTGCTGCGCTGCAGCTGACAGATTCTCGTGCTGGTTTTTCTTCACTTTTAGTAAAGCTGTGGACAAGGACACAGAGCTGAGCCAAGTGCCTGTCCAAGCAGAAGGAGTAACTATGAAGCCTTTGAGCCCACTGCTGTGTAGGACCCTGGACTGGCAGGCTGGCCATCAGTACTTGGGGAAGCCACTTGTTCTGAGACTGTGAGCCCAGATAACTGTGCCCACAGGGCGTGGACAGTGGTGGTCTGGGTCAGATGTGACTAAAGCTAGGAGGCGACACTCCGGTGGCTGCAGACATTTCCGCTGACATGTGACTCATTACGCAGTGGAGCTGCTTCTGTTGTTTGTTGCAGCTGCGTGAGTCAGTATTCCTGAAAATAATGTGACTCCCACAGTTGTCTGGGACATGTGAGGCCTCCCCAGGAATGGGGTCATCTGGCACCCACAGAATGGTGCTGTAGGGGCAGTGACCGCCCCGAAAAGATGGTCAGATCTGGGGCCCAGATAAGGCCCAGATGAAAGTGAGATGAGTGGAAACTATAGTCTGGCAAACACATATTTACAAAATTTTTTAAATGATTTTATTTGAAATCAAAGTTGCAGAGAGAGAGATCTTTATGTCCTGGATCATTCCCCAAATGGCCGCAATGTCAGGACTGTGCCAGACCAAAGCCGGGACCTTCGTCTGGATCTCCCATGTGGTTGACAGATCCTCTGCTGTCTTCCCAGGCGCATTAACAGGGATCTGCATGGGAGGTGGTGCAGTGAAATTTGAACCAGCCCCATATGGGATGACAGCACTGCAGGCAGCAACTCAATCTGTAGACCACAGTCCTATCCTCCTTGCAGATACTTTAAGGGTCCCAAAAACTCAGCAATCCAGACAGATACTTTCGTAATACAACATTTAAAAATCAAAATTAGGCCTGGTGCGGTGGCCTAGCGGCTCAAGTCCTCACTTTGAACACACCAGGATCCCATGTGGGCGCCGGTTCTAATCCTGGCAGCTCCACTTTCCTCCACAACTCCCTGCTTGTGGCCTGGGAAAGGACGGCCCAAAGCCTTGGGACCCTGCACCCATGTGGGAAACCCAGCAGAAGTTCCTGGCTCCCGGCTTCGGATCGGCACAGCACCTGCCATTGCAGGCACTCACTTGGGGATTGAATCATCGGACAGAAGATCTTCCTCTCTGTCTCTCCTCCTCTCTGTATATCTAACTTTGCAGTAAAAATAAAATAAATCTTAAAAAAAAACTGTAAAGAAAATCGAAATTAAGGCCCAGCATGGTAGCCTAGAGGCTAAAACTTTGCTTTACATCCACTGGGATCCCATATGGATGCTGGTTTGTATCCTGGCTGCTCCTCTTCCCATCCAGCTCCCTGCTTGTTGCCTGGGAAAGCAGTTGAGGACGGCCCAAAGCCTTGGGACCCTGCACTTACATGGGAGACCCAGAAGAAGCTCCTGGCTCCCCGCTTTGGATCGGCTTAGCTCCAGCCATTGTGACCACTTGGAGAGTGAACCAACACATGGAAGAGCTTTCTCTAGGTATGTCCTTCTCTCTGAATATGTGTGTTTCCAATATAAATAAATAAATAAATCTCTTTTAAAAATCCATGTAAAAAATCCTTGATGAGCACAGTATCAATTTTTAAAATAAAGACAGGCTTTTGTTTATTCTATGACTGCATTATTTTGGGGTAGAACATTCCCCAGCAGCTTGCCATGGCAGCCCCCCACAGATAGGGTAGATGACGGCATGCCCACAGTCCTGGCACCACAGGGCTTTAACTGCAGTTGTATTTGCTCTCGGACTAAAGTGCTTTCAGCTTTTTCCGTTTAGTTGAA